GGGAAGGGAATTATATGTGTAGTGGTATAATAATATAGTACAATATAATATAATATAATATAATATAATATAATATAATATAATATAATATATATATGATAATAATATTGTAATGTAATACAATATAATATATTATGATATTGTAATATAATACTAATATATTAAGTGGAGCCCTCAGTGGTGCAGTGGGTTAAACCGTGGAGCTGGGAAGCGGGGTGAGCTCCTGTTGTAAGCTCCAGCTTCTGCCAACCTAGCAGTTAAAAAACATGCAAAAGTGAGTAGATCAATAGGTACCTCTGGAAAGGTAATGGTGCTCCATGCAATCATGGCGGCCACATGACCTAGGAGGCGTCTACAGACAACGCCGGCTTTTTGGCTTAGAAATTGAAATAAGCACCAGCCCCCAGAATCGGACATGACTAGACTTAATGTCAAGGGGAAACCTCTACTTTTAATATATTATCATACTACTGGTAATATATAATAATACTGTTTTATTGTTGTATATTTTAAGTTGTAATGTTTTTAATTGTGAGCCACTTTGAGTCTCCGTATGGAGAAATGCAGAGAGAGATAAATAAATAATAAAACACACTAATCAAACTGGTTTAGCCATTTTATAAAAGAGGCACCATTTTACTATGCAATTGAATGTCATAGAGCTTGAGCATCAGTAGATGTGGTCCTGGGGTGTGCTATTGTTGTCTCATTTGAGAAAACTGGTAAAATCTTAATGCATTAATGACATGAATTAATGTAGTATTTACTTATACTACAACAGCAACAGTGTCACTCTATGGCAGGCACGGGCAAGCTTTGGTCGTCCAGGTGTTTTGGACTTCAAATCCTAACAGCCTGTTAGAAACTGTGGAAATTGAAGCCCAAAACACCTGGGGGGGCTGAAGCTTGCCCATGCCTGCTCTGTGGGCTTTGAATTTCAGCTGAAAAGGCTGGATAAAATACATAAGCAAAAAAAAAAAAAGGGGGGGGGGTGAGCAGAAATGCTGAAGAAGGAATTATTCAAACAATCTGAAGTTTGTAGAAGTTATATTACAGCTCCTAATACTTACAGGAAAACCTAACAAGAGTAAAGGCAAAGCTGGCCACAGACAGCTCCTTGTGTCTCATTTTGGCTCTGGTCATAAGGCGTTTCCCCAAAAGCAGCCTTTGCTCACCAAAACAATAACTTGGAAGACGCAGGAGCAGATTGTGCAAGGCTATCCCAACAACCAACCATGGCATGAAAGCATTTGCAGGGAAGAAACAATCTGAAACACAAGGTTTTTTAAATTATTATTTTGTTGGTTAGTGCTATGCTAATGTATGGACAGGCATACCCTACTGTAACCTGCCATTCCACCAATCATCAGGCTCTCTTTTTGTACTTCACCATTTTATAAAAGTTTACTATCCCATTCTACACAGGGTGTTTTAAAAAATGGGACTCAATTTGAAACCACTATATCTTTGTAACCATGAACTATTCATGAATGAAACTCCTACCACTTGAGAGAGGGGAGCATAGAGTTTGCTCACTACTAGATGTCTCTCCCAGCACACAAACTGCTCAGAACCTCAGTCATTTGCAAGATGGCATCCCAGCCATCAAGGTCTTTTATGTTCTATTTTTGCTAATGACTGAAGCCATGGTATGTATGTGCACTGGGAGATGCATCTAGCTCTAATCATTTGAAATTCTATGCCCCACAGTTTCAAATGGTAAGAGTTTCGTTCAGGAGTGGGTTGTGGTTGTGGAGATACGGTGATTTCCAAGACAGGTCAGTTTTTTTGAAACACTCTGTATAATGGGACCTAAGCATCCATGAGGTGGCATGGTGGTGGGTCCTGAAAACAACGAATACTGATGGTTCATTAATGAGTACTTGCTCAGAGTTTGGTGGTGTTCAGGCAAATAGTGAGTAAACCTAAAATTGAAGCATGTGTTTAGGTTTTACTCATGATATAGAGTGGGATTTAAATATTTTCATTCATAAAGTGTGGGATTGAAGTATTAGGAAATTTCTAGTCACAGTACAGTGGAAATAACACACTTTAAAAGTCACAATTCTGGGTGAAGCATGTTTAATTGGCTGGGTTGTGCAATGAATTTTGGTTGGTAATTAATTTTGAAAAACTTGTTTGAAGAAAATGGTGGAAAATTTTTCATGACCTTTGTTTTTACTCTCAAAGGCCCTGAGTGAGGACCAAAAAGAAAAGTATGCAGAAATGGCTCGTCAGTGGAAAGCTAAGACATCTGATGTAGCAGCAGCAAAGGTATATAGTAGTGTGATTTGGGAATGGAAGTATTTCAGGATTTATATTCTTGTCCTCAAGGCAGGGTATAATAACTGAAGTACTTTCTCATAATTGAATGAACCTTGGTAGTGATAGGGAATAATAATAATAATAATAATAATAATAATAATAATAATTGTATCCCGCCCCATCTTCCCGAGGGGACTCAGAGTGGCTCACAACAATATAATTATACAAATAATCCCAACAACAACACACTTAAATATGTCCAATTTAAATTAATGACAAGGCAAACTATTGAAAAATAAAGCAGCATTTTAAAATTACATAAAATAAGAATTTTAATGTATTTGGTATAATGTACTGAGTTACTGGTGTTCCAATGATAGTAGTCATTACAGAAAGTTTTTTTTAATCTTACACTCCATTTGGTTTCTCTGTTACATAATGTGTACCACTTATCAATGTAGTTATTATTTTGTTTTTTAATTTGATGAGGGTTCCAGTCAAACTCTTTCTAAAATAGGGACTGGATTAAGCAGTCAAGACAACTCTGCAGGAATTGGTTAAAGTTCAGTATTTTGAAACATGAATTTTGCACTAATAATTTTGTTTTATTAGGGTTACATTTTCTCCATATTGACACCTAGAAGTTGTTCTATCGTGCCGTAATTAGGTGCATCACAAGTCCTATATAGGTTGATAATGTTGCAAGTGTCTCGCTCCATTCACAAGAACACATATTCTCTGTTAGAAAAAATAGAAAGGAGATGATAATTTGGAAAGCAAGAAGGGAGGTTATAACTGATTGGATGGGATTCCTATTCTCCCTGCAATCAAGAATGCTCATTACACAGTTTCTGAGTGCTGTGAGAACTGAAACCTGTCCACTCAATTTGGGATATTATTTATTATTATTTATTATTATTAACTTTATTTGTACCCCGCTAGCATCTCCCGAAGGACTCGATGCGGCTTACAAAGGCCAAGGCAACAAAACACAACACAAACAATATAACACCAAAAGCAAAATTAAAAACAGTTAAAGCAATATTAACGACATGCAATAGACAGTATATCAAGACACAATAAAAACTGGGCCGGGCCAGAGTAATGGGTACAGGATTAAAAGTGCTGATGTGGCAGGTGGTATACGAGGATTATAGGGCAAGTGCAGTGTGCGGTGTGCAATAATCTTAGTTCTACTAAAAGTGCTTCGAGGACTTGTTATTGGAGATTTCCTATTCTGGAAAGGCACATCGGAACAGCCAGGTCTTCAAGTTCTTTCTAAAGACTGCCAATGTAGGGGCCTGTCTAAGATCTTTTGGGAGGGTGTTCCAGAGTCGGGGGGCCACCACAGAAAAGGCCCTGTCTCGTGTCCCCACCAGCCGCGCTTGTGACGCAGGCGGAATCACGAGCAGGGCCTCACCAGATGACCGAAGTGAACGTGTGGGTTCATAGATGGAGATGCGGTCACTCAGGTAGGCAGGTCCCAAACCGTTTAGGGCTTTGTAGGTAAGCACCTGCACCTTGAATTGGGCTCGGAAAATAAATGGCAGCCAGTGGAGCTCCTTGAACAGGAGGGTTGACCTCTCTCTGTAAGGAGCCCCAGTTAGCATCCTGGCTGCTGCCCGTTGGACCAGTTGGAATTTCCGAAGCCGTTTTCAAGGGCAGCCCCACGTAGAGTGCATTACAGTAGTCCAATCTAGAGGTGACCAAGGCATGGACCACCCCGGCCAGATCAGCCTTCGCGAGGTACGGTCGCAGTTGGCGCACGAGTCTCAATTGTGCAAAAGCCCTCCCGGACACCGCCGACGCCTGAGCCTCAAGCGTGAGCGATGAATCCAGGAGGACTCCCAAACTGCGGACCTGTGCTTTCAAGGGGAGTGTAACCCCGTCCAACACAGGTTGCCACCCTATACCCCGATCCGGTTTGCGATCGACCAGGAGGACCTCTGTCTTGTCGGGATTGATCTTCAGCTTGTTCCTCCTCATCCAGATCGACACAGCGGCCAAGCACTCGTCCAGCACCCGAGAGGCCTCCTTGGAATTAGGTGGAAAAGAGTAATAGAGTTGTGTGTCATCTGCGTAGAGATGGCACCTAACTCCAAAACTCCGGATGACCTCTCCCAGCGGTTTCATGTAGATGTTAAAAAGCATGGGAGACAAAATGGAGCCTTGCGGGACCCCACAGGTCAAGGGCCAGGGGTCCGAGCAGGCATCTCCCAGCTTCACCATCTGGGTTCGTCCCTCCAGGAAGGACCGGAGCCACGACAAAACCGTGCCCCCGAGACCCATCCCAGAGAGTCGACCCAGAAGGATACCATGGTCGATGGTATCGAAAGCCGCTGAGATGTCCAAGAGAACCAACAGAGTCACACTCCCCCTGTCCAGATCTCTACGGAGGTCATCCACCAAGGCGACCAAGGCTGTCTCAGTGCCGTGACCAGGCCTGAAGCCAGACTGTGACTGATCTAGGTAATTGATGTCATCCAAGAATCCCTGGAGCTGGGAGGCGACCACCCGCTCCAGTACCTTACCCAAAAAAGGGAGGTTGGAGATCGGTCTGTAATTGTTCAGCACCGTGGAGTCAAGGGAGACCTTCTTAAGGAGTGGCCGTACCACAGCCTGTTTCAGATTGGATGGAAAAATCCCTTGCTCCAACGATGCATTAATGATCAACACAAACCAATCAACCAACCCCCCCCCCTGGCCGATTTAATTAGCCAAGATGGGCAAGGGTCTAGAGCCGATGTGGTCGCCCTCACAGCCCCAAGGACCTCCTCCATGGTTTCAGGAAGAACAAGCCTAAAAGAATCCCACAAAATTGGACAAGCAGATGCCTCAGTCACCTCACCTGGTACTGCGATGAAATTGGAGTCGAGCTCAAGACGTATCTGAGCAACTTTGCCTGCAAAATGGTGTGCGAGCTCGCAACATCGAGTTGCTGGGTCGTCGAAAGTCTCCTCCCCCACAGGTGGGTGAAGGAGTTCCCCAACAACCCGAAACAGCTCCGATGATCTGTTTGCTGCAGACGCTATACGGGTGGTCGTGAAAGATTCCCTGGCCACCCGTATAGCCACGGAATATGCCTTAAGCGAGGCTTTAGCCCGTGCTTGGTCAGACACATCCCAAGAACTCCTCCATTTGCGCTCTAGCCCCCTTCTCGTGTGCTTCATCACAGCCAACTCCCTAGTGAACCAGGGGGACGGTCTGTCACGGCGCAACGTGATGGGGTGTTTGGGAGCGATCGTATTTATCGCCCTGGTCATCTCCCTATTGTAGAGATCAACCAAGGCGTCGACCGAATCGCCAGGCTCCATGGCAGGAAGAACCCCAAGATTCCTCAGGAATCCATCCGGATCCATCAGTCGCTTGGGGCGGACCATCTTAATCTGTCCTCCACCCCTGCGGAGGTTAAGGGTCGCAGAGAGTCTAAAACTGACCAGATAATGATCAGACCATGACACAGGAAGGATGTTTTGGTCTTCCACTCTGATCATTCCACTGTCCGCTACAAAAACTAGGTCAAGAGTGTGGCCAGCCTGATGGGTGGGTCCAGATATAATTTGTGACAGTCCCATGGTCGTCATGGCGGCCATGAAGTCCTGAGCTGCACCGGTCAAAGAGGTCTCGGCATGAATGTTAAAGTCTCCCAGCACAACCAGGCGTTGGGAGACCAGGGCCGAATTGGAGACCACCTCTGCTAGCTCAGACAGGGAGACTGCTGGGTCGCGGGGTGGGCGGTACACCAGCAGAAACCCCACACTGTCACGGTTCCCCACCCTCAGGTGGACACACTCGAACCCAGATGTTTGCGGAACAGCGCATCTGACCACGGCGATGGATTGCCGAAAGACTACTGCGACCCCTCCTCCCCGCCCCCCCAGCCTGGCCTGCTGATGCACTCCGAAACCTGGTGGGCACAGCTGAGTAAGATTTACTCCCCCCAGCTCATCCAACCAGGTCTCAGTAATGCAAGCCAGATCTGCCCCCTCATCCAGGATCAAGTCCTGAATGGCAGCGGTCTTACCATTGACAGATCTGGCATTGATCAGCAGGACCTTAAGACCGGGGGAACTGCTATGGGGCCTACCACTTCCTACCTTCTCCAGGGTCGCAAGAACTCTGTTGCGCTTCTCCCTGGGACGATGGTAACCAGCCAGTCTCCTCCCCCACACGACCTGAATGGATAGTGGACTATTATACAGTATACAATCTCCCTTAAAATATTGAATCCCAGCATAGGATTACTGTGTATCTTCAATATATTTATAATTTCACTCTCTTGGAGGATCTGTAGGCCAGCCATTTCAGAAACCTGGAACTGCATTTTTGTGAATGAATAAATAATAATAATAATAATAATACTTTATTTATAACCCGCCCTATCTCTCAGGGCGGTTCCCAACAAAAATAGCAACACTTGAATGCAATAATAAACAATAGAAACAAACCAAATCAAAACAGTAATCAAATACATCTATACGAATTTATAGTAACTGCCCAAAAATGTAAGGAATTAAATAGATGTGGTAGATCTAAATAAATAAAACATTCCAGCATAATAAAAATCTGATAAACTAAAATACATTAAAATTAATGAATGATTTACAGCAGTCAACAGAGCCAGGGTGAGTTACCAGTGAATGAATTCAGCTGTAGCCTGTTTCATAGCCACCATAAGAATTGATATGATATATGTCACCCATATGAAAATTCACATACACTACACCTTCATGTTATTGCTGTGATTGAAACTCACACATACACACAGAGATAATAGTACTCCAGACATGATTGCAAGCAGAGTGGGGTACCTCATGTGATTTTGCACATAGCTTCAAATCAATATGTATAGGCTCAACTTGGCTAGAAAATGCAAAGAAAGATCTGTCTTCTTTGCCTGCAATTAGAGATCAGTTTGCTTTGCTTGATTCAATACATAATGAGTTGATTGATTGTCTCAACATTTTTTCTCAGTCATCCAGTGAAGTTCCAGCACCTCTTCCAACAAAAACCCAGAATAGAGTTTCTGCAAACCTCACAAGTTCTCTTACAAAGAGAGAGCAAGGTAAAATACAGTGAAACATCCTACATATTTTCAGTAGTTTATCTCTTGTATGTTCTGAATACAGCTGATACACATCTCTTGTGATATCAGGGGAGTTATAAATAGTATTATGAAGCCCATTGGAAAGAAACGACATAGCAGAGCACTCTTGGTCAGTGCTATGTGTACGATCTATAAAAAATTTCCTACAGTTGCTATTATGTTATTCCTGATGACCCCGACACTGAAATGTGGTGTCTTCATGATAGACTACTCTATTGATGCTTGAACGACCACTTACACTAGAAATAGCATAAAATGTAAATCAAAACAATTTTTGAACATCAGGGTCTATATTCCGGTACTGTATATATTCTTTTTACAGTGTTATGTGGAAAGTTGACCAGTGGGTCATGAGTACATTTTCATTCTGAAAGTCCAGCAACAAGTACAAAGAAATAATTTCTCTTGAACTGTCTAGGGAAATATGTTTGTTGGGACTAACAACACATATAGCTCTGTCTTCTGTTAATTTGTCAAATTCACTTTCAAAACTGTCCATATTGACAGCTATTGATGAGTTTTGAGATTAAGTTAGAATTCTCTAACTTAATGGTGCAGGAATACCCCTTTTACCTATCTTGAATCTTCCACCTTTTCATTTCTGTGGCTGACCTGTTATTATGAGAGAAAGCAGCATTCTGTTTGCTTTTTCTACACTGTGCTACTTTTATCCATTTTTCTTCAAGTCCCCCTTAGCTGTCCTAAGCATTTCTAAAAATTGTAATCATTGTACTCTTTACCTTTTTGAGCGATTTCTTTGTCTTTTCCATTGTTAAATTGTCCTTTTTTTAAAGAAATGCCATACCAATTATTTGAAGTATAGTCACAGTATGCATTTCTGCAAGGACTGTATGATATTGGCAGTTTTTTTTCTTGTAGTTATTTCTGTCCTTGTGACAACTGACATTTTACTGAATTCTAGCCTAGTTTGTTGTATGATGTTATATGTTGATACAGTCTAAAATGGAACAAAAGATAGTGCCAGAAGATGGGACGTCCAGGCCAGAGACACTCAATGAGCTACTGGAACAGAGCAGATAATAGTTTCAAGTAACACTGTGATTAATGATGTAACTGGGCTCAGGGCAAAAGGATATTCATCTGTCAATGTCCTCAGAGATTAAAGGAAAGTCCCAAACCGCACAACATGTATTATAGAACAATGAATGTGAAAAGCATGAACCAGAAGAAGATGGACATAGTGAAACAAGAAATGAAACATAGATTTTCAGTACTTGGGGTGAATGAGGTAAAGTTGACAGGAATAGGACATTTTGAGTAACTTCATTATAGAGTGTTTTGCGCTGGAAATAAAAATGGAAAGGAAAAAGGGTGGTGTCTACAGTGCGGATAAATGTAGAGGTCTTAAGTAATACAAATCTGGTCTGATATCTAACACTTAAAAGAAAATCCATAATCTAAGTTCATACCCCAATGACAGAAGTAGAAGGGGAAAAAACTTTAAAGATCCTGTCAGGAGAAAATCATTCACACACCGAAACAGGAGTTCTTGTTAATCATAGATGACTGGGGACCCTTCCACACAGCTATATAACCCAGAATATCAAGGCAGAAAATTCCACAACATCTGCTTTGAACTGGGTTATCTGAGTCCACACTGCCATATATTCCAGTTTAAAGCAGAAAATGTGAGATTTTATTCAGCTGTGTGGAAGGGCCCTGGAATGCAGGTGTAGAAAACTACAGAATCAAAAGATTTATTTGTTTATTTCCTTTATGAATTGCAAAATCTTACACAATGGGACCAGTTTTAGTCAGAAGACATTTACTTATAAGTCTAAACCAGGCTTGTCCAAACTGCAGCCCATAAGCCACATGCAGCCCAGGACACCTATGAATGCAGCTGAACACAAAATTGGAAACTTACTTCAACATTAAGGGTAGTGGGGTTGTAACTTAATTGTGCAGGTTTGTTAAAAGGAAATAGGTTAATTATATAGACATATGAAACATGAGTTGACCATTCTTATGACTGTACTTCCCCCCCCCCCTTTTTTTTAAAAAAAATTTCTTTCATCCCTGTGCTCTCCTCCAGAGCCCACCCATGGCAGAAAAGTGGGAATAAAAATTAATAATAATTTACTTTTAAATTTCATGTTAGTTTATCATTCAACTCCACTCTCTAGACTTCTTTCATCAATGTGGATTATCATTTTCCCTTTCCAATATTTTGCTATTAATAATCTAGCTGGTGTTAATAGCATATCTATTATTTTTCCCCCTCTTAACTTTCACTTCATCTCTTTTAATTGATAGCAATATTTCTGCTGGATTCCTTCTAATTTCTATATTCATAATATTTTCTATTTCTATTACAACCATTTCCCAAAAATCCTGTACATATTTACAATCCCACTACATATGCATATAAGTCCCAGTTTCCTGACACTTCTTTCGTGCAATTCTTGGGTGCCAATTTTGTAGATGACAACAGAATGGAAAAGAATAATCAGAATATGTTACATCTACAAATATATCCGTAATTTACATTATGATTGTATAAAGTGTTGCAGGATTTGCTGGTACGTGAAGTGATTTATAGTTTCCAAATCATGACCTAATATTCACTGCTTTGACTCTGACTCCCAGAATTCTGAGACTTATAGTTTAACAGGGTATTTAGAATTCTGTGTTGTGGAGACATAGTTCAACAAAGCTCACAAGCAGATAATTTCACTTCTGCAAACATGAAGATTCAACTTTTGTAGCAAGGTTTATAGGTTTCTTTCTCGTTTGTGATTTATTAATGTTGATACGCTGCCTTGGACCCCAAACCAGGAGAAAAGTGACTTAAAAATAAATGAATATGAGACCACATGATCACATCAGCCTTAGGGTCTTCAAATGGCTGTTGAGTCCATGGATGGAGAATCTGTGGATATAGAAAGCCAACTATAATTTTATTTACATGTGGCCGGTGCTCTTCAGTTTTTTCCCCCAATTTGGGTCCATAGATGTTATTGAACAACAACTCCCATCACTTTTGATTATCTGTCATGTAGACTGGGAATAACAAAAACTACAACCAAACAGCAGTTTTTGCTCTGAGGTTCAAGGAAAGTTATAGGACATTTTAAAGTCAGATATCATATCTAAATTCAATCCATACTATCCTGAGTAAACAGAACTAATTGCAGCCTCACATATGTTATTGTATTGCACCCCCTATCAACTCTAGTTATGATGTCTAATGATGAGGAACACAGGAATTGTAGTGCAGCATCTGGAGGGTTATACAAAATGACATAGCAGGCCAGATTCGTCCTGCATGTCTTGAGTTTGACACATTTATTCTAGATTCTAACACAGAGCTTTAATATGAGCTGAGTTCAATATTAGCATCACAACAGAGCTTTTCATATATTTTAGCTATTACGTTCTTTTATTCAAAATCATCTTTTAGATGTGCTTGAAACCTCATTCTACTTCCTGAATATCTTGAGCCATGGAATGCTGCCCCGTGATTGCAGTCAGCGTTTTCTTCCTTGTGAAATTGCCTGCGTCAAATATTCTCTTAAGAAAGGCATAATTGCTGAGTTCCATCGTTTTATAGATCCTGGTGAGTTCTGTGAAATGGAGGGACATGAATTTGTTCTTTTTCATCTTTGTGGAGAGAAGGATTTTTTCCAATCCCGTTTTAACAAAAGGACAATTCAATATATATAATTCTGGTAGTGGGCAATTTGGAAATTAATAAATGGAGTCAACTTGTGCTGAGGAAATGCATAATGATGTAAAAGCAAGGTTTCTTGTGGAAAAAGCAGTTTTTAAAAGTAATTAAGACTAATTGAACATAAATCCCATTCTTTTTATGGAAGCAAAATGGGCTTTATTTTGTATTAGATAATAGCCTGGCATTACTATGTATTTATATTTTTTTCTGGTCTTCTGTAGGAGAAGTGCCAAGAGGCTTTCGATTTCATTGCCAAGCTGCAGGTAGTACTGACCAAGAAAGTTGGAAAGTGACAAACACTAATGTGTTCTGTACCTGATGTGTTGCATTGTTTTATTTATACTTTACTTTTAATGTGTATTCAATAATATGCTTTGATTCTGGTCGTCAGTAGCTAAGTTTTTCACTTGATCTCAGTATGATACGTGATAACTTTGGTGTAAAGTATTGGCTAAATGCTTTTATTGCATGCTGTCCTGAGATCACATGTTATAGAATGGTGTGTCAATAGTTTCATAAAAATAAATATATTGCTTAGAGAATGTATGTGATCCATGGGAGTGCCAGCATAGCTTAGTAGACCAGAGTTGGAATCCCTGCTTGGCCATGAAACCCCTGTGGGTGAATGGGCAAACTGCACAAAGCCTCAGTGGAAGGCAGTAGAAAACACGTGTTGGAGCAAATCTTGCCAAGAAAATCGCATGAAAGTTTTTACCATACATTGAAAACTACTTAAAGCCATATAACAACAATAAGCAATGGGAACTGTACTTTGTTAAATCCTTACTATATTTCCTGCCCATGCTTTGTGAATGCTGCTTTTAATCCTAGCTAAAATATTTTAAAACTGATAGAATAGTGTTTTAAACTCATGACAATTAGTAGTAAAGTTCAGGTGATGAGAACAAAGCTGTTGTTATCCAGCATCAAGCAGATACTACAGTTCTAAAGTTCCTTCCATACTGACTTTTTTACCCATTAGAATGGAATAACTTGTTTCCTTTTTTAAATATAGTCAAGTTATTGAAAGAAATAGTTAAGTCTTTCTTAATTTAAAAAAGGAAATTATTTTTATTTCTGTTACTTGTTTATTCTTGTATTTGTTTATATTTGTGTCTCCATGCCAACTCAGACATACGGTGATTGTGCCATAGGATCTTGGCAAAATTTATTCAGAGGAAATTTTTCATTGCCTTCTTCTAGAACAGTGGTTCCCAACCTGTGGTCCTCAAGAACTAAAATATAGTCTGCAGCCTCACAGCTACTACACCATTGCAGTAAGATCGATTGGTCTTGCGAAGCCCTCTTATAATGCTGAGGCAACAGGGATGTAGGGAAGGGAGAGGCTGACTATGAAAGGCACGACAACAAGCCTCGTGACTGCTGCTTGTTTACTATTTATTTATTTATACCCCGCCTTTCTCAGCTCGAAGGGGACTCGTGGCAGCTTACAAATTATGGCAAATTTCCATGCCACATCATGCACATAACAATAAACATGCCATATAAAATTGTAAAACAGTTTAAAAATATAAACAGTTAAAACATGTAAAACAGATTAATAACATACTAAATGCAGAGTTATGATTTCCAAACTTCTTAGTTTTCCCATAGTTGCTATTCAGACTGCTAGGTTAGAATGATATAGTAGCTAAAATGCTGCCTCCCTAACTCTCCCTAGCAAGCAGTCACCCAATCCCCTCCCTGTTTGCTGCTTCTCCTCCTCCTCCCTCCCCCTGAGTGGAGCCATTCCATGTGGTGCCTGGAAGTGGGGGCGCTTTGGTGTCTTCGTTTTTAGGCCTGTTCCTGGGGTTTTTTGGGGTGATGGTTCAGAAAACTGCATTGGATAGACCACATCAGCTCTAGATCATTAAATATGGTTTTCTGTGGGTGAACAGATGAAGACTACTGGATGGCATATGTTCTGTATCAGAAACTGATGTGGTCTATCCAATGCAGTTTTCTGAATCGGCACCCTAAATAACCAAACTGAATCTAAAGTTGACTAAAAACTGATTCATAACCCTTTTGATACTAATGTTAGAGGTTGGTACTTGGTCAGAGTGGTCCCTGGTCAAAAATAGATTGAGAACCATTGTTCTAAGGCAAAGAGAGTGCTTTGATCACGGTCAGCCATTGGCTTTCCTTGGATGACTGAGGATTCAAACCGTTGTATTCCAGAATCTTACTTCAGCACTCTAGCCACTATAACATACTGACTCACAAGTATTCAATGTAACTGTGTAGCTCTCTTTTCTTTTGGAAGGCACTAGTTTAAAACACTGCAATATTTTTCTGTTAGCCGACGCTACACACAAAATTCCTATATCGGGATTCGACCATCCAACCACAGATCGTTCTGTTTTGATTTGTGAACTGTACACATTCATCCAGCCCTGTTGGGGCACATGGCCACTTATATATTGTAAGGTACAGTATAATATTTTCAAACTTTGTTTTGTGTTTTTAAAAAGTAAGCTAAGTTAGATGAAATACCATTTTTCAAATTAGACAAGTCAGATAAAAATTTACTAAAAGAAAATCAGATGTTTTTAAAAAAACATATGGAGTACACATATGTGATTTAAATCAAGAATAATATTGTCTTTGGTGATGCAAAATACGCTGTTACTTGATTAATAAATTTGCATATTTTAGTTCATACATTTTTACCAGTCTTCCAACAACTGAGTTATCTGTGACAAATTTTATTTTGGTCAGTTTTCTCTTTGTTATTAAAATAAATTACAGTAGTTCTGCACATTTTAACTTGTCCATAAATGGCTTGAAATTAGACGTAAGCAGTAGGATAGCACCCTGGTTTTGATTCTGTAGTTACAATACAGTTCAGAGGACCATACTACAGATCGTTTCATAGGTCTCCGTACTAGAATCTTCAGTTATTGATCTGCATGTGCTACAGTTGAAATAAGTATCTCCAGTATTGGCATATCTTGTTCATATCCTTGAGAAAAGCAAAGTACATAACAATTATTGGCTTAAATATGGGGTTTAAGGGGAAATGCTGAATACATAATTGGGTCCATAAATTCCACCTTGTTTTTTTGCAGTCTGATGATCACTATAGAGTCAACTGGTGCTTGAAGCACATGGCTGAGAAAGCAGGTGGGAAGCTATTTCCTTTTATAACACAAGTGTGTCTCTTTTTAAACACTTCCTATTCTAAAACTATTTTTTCTTACAGGCACAGTAAATCATCTGGAGCTCCTCAATGTGGAGGATCTTATTGTAGAATTATATTCTAAAAAACTTCAAAAAGAACCTTCCAAGACCTGGGTGTGCAGCACACTGGATTCCTCTATGTGGGATTTTTCAGCCAATACTAGGTACAGTGTATACCATCTGCTCTCTTCACATTCTCTCAAAAGGTCAGAACTTCTGTTCATTGATGACATATAATACTTTGTCAGCTGTGTGACAGAAATATTAAATTTGGAAGACATAATGTTTCATAACTTCATTATAAATGAAATCAAAGGCTCGTTGATATAATTTTAATTTCTAAAGTGAATATTTAGGACTATTTTGAAAAAAAAAGTAATTTCCTAAACATAGAATAAACTAGTATTTGCCTCAGGTAGTTGAATGTTAGTGGTGGATATTTTAACGCTGTTTCTCAAGTATACTACACTGCATTGAGTACTAAATCAGCATCATATGGTACACATTTAAATTTCCCATGGTACATTAAGAATTTCCAGACCAAAAAGTGATGGGTTTATTTTACTTCAGGAACAGATCCGCTCTCAATTATTGTGAACCCTGGCTGTTGTACACTAATGTGGATGTTTTATTTATATTTTTGTTACAAAATTTTGTCTGATTATGTATAGTTTAATTTATTGATGTCAGGTTTAATTTACTGATGTTAGCTCTTAATTTGATGTTAGGCTTTAATGTTACTTTTATAAATGGGTTTTTTCTGGGATTTTATGTTAGTATCCTGTGTTTTATGTAGGCATTGAATGTTTGCCATTGTTATGCTGGAATCCGCCCTGAGTTCCCTCAAGGAGATAGGACAGAATACAAATAAAGTTATTTATTTATTTATTTATTTATTTATTATAGATTAGATAAATTAGAGAAGGTATATCTATATGCAAAATGTGTTGCGTTGTGAAGAACAGCGGTGTCCTTCATTGACTTCTGTCATGCGGCCATTGTTAACGGCATTGGGTTTCAGATAGTCTTTTTTAAAGATACTTTATATTCATGTTGAAATCCTCTAACAGCATTCTAGCCAATGTGTAAGCTGCTCATTTTATTTTAATCAGTCATAATACTTAGGCCACGGGGGAAAAATCCAAATATATAGTACATGCTTTTAAAAAATGCATGGTGGCACTTTTATTTGCAAGATCCATTAATGTAATTCCATGATAGTTAACAGAGAAACATGAAATTGCCTTAACTTGTTTCTGAGAGGGTTTTGTGATCCAGAAATCTTTCAAGTGGGTATTGCAAAGCAAAATGTATGCAAAATGTATGGAATGTGGAAAACCTTGCAGAACTCAATGGGATAATGTTTGAGATCATGGTACTAATTTATTTGGCATATGTCACGTTTCCATTGACACTATGTTTGAATGTGTCATGATAACATTTGTTATTTCCCATGGGGACAAACAACAAATAATTGGATATTGTCTACTAATCTGAAAATCAAATATCGCCTTACAACATTATGCTAATATATTAATATTTAAATTTCACTTTTCTACGATTTTTTATTGTAATTCCAAACTAAGTGCTGTAGATGAAAATCTAAAATTCTTCTGTTATCAGGAACTAAAATGCTCTTTTATGTATCTTTATCTGGGTTATTAACTCTCATGGCTCTTTGAGGAAGGAAGAGTGGGATATAAATGAAATGAATAAATGAGTAATTTAAAATTGTGATAAAATATGGTTTACCTTTAGGTGCCAGTGGCATGAAGAAAATGATGTACTATTCTGTGCTCTTGCTACTTGCAAAAAAATTGTGTAAGTATAAATGAAAGTGAAAATTTAGAAAACATTTACATTTTATGAAATAAAGGAATAATTTTTTAGAATCACCATTAACATTATTTGTAAGATAACCATGTTCTAAGTCTCCTTGTCTGTCTTCAAAGCATAATTTGTGATATTGTTCAATGTAATAGAAGTACAAACTGTCTGAAAAAACAGTGTGGTGTGATGGTTTGGCTGTTGTACTGTGATTCAAGACCAGGGTTTGAATCCCCCCTTGGTCATGGATGGCCTTGAGCAAGTCACTCTCTCAGCCTCAGAGGGAAAGCAGGTGCGCAAACCCACTCTGAAAAATGTTGCCAACAAAACCCCATGATTTGGTTTGCAGTAACTCAGAAACAGGTTGAGACCACAATAGCAACAAATTACTTTTGTGATGCCTCTGCTGTTTGAAGAGAAGAATGTTTTTGCTTTTCTAAATAAATTCAGATTTTGTTATAATTTTATTTCTCACTAGCTGTACCCGCCACGCATTGCTGTAGCCAACCTTCCCTCCCTCTTTCTCTTCTTTCTTTCTCTTCTTCCTTCCCTCCCTCTTCCCTTCCTTCCCTTTATTTCTTTCTTTCCTTCTGTCCTTCTCTTCTTCCTTTCCCCCACCTTTTCTTTCCCTTCCTCTTTCTCCCCTTTCTTTCTTCTCTACCTATTCTTGGACTGCAACTCCCAGCAGTCCTTCTGATCGATCTATCTATCTACCTACCTATCTCTATCTAATCTATCTATCTGGAGGATTGCTGGGAGTTGCAGTCCAGGAATAAGAACTTGGAAATATGCAGGGTTCCCCATCATGGTCCCTGTGAATCGCACATATGGTATTTCCTGCATTTGCGCAGACAGTTTGGAATCTTCTAGAAAACTTATTAGACACTTTTAGATGGTAGCCCCTCCCACTCTCCCCTTGAGAGTATATATAGCCAGTGGGAGGGGCTACTGCCTCAGTTCCTTTCATCCGCTGCTCTGGCAGCAGCTAGGAATCTTTCTCTCATTTTTCTTCATCTTTGACTGGCATTTCTGGACTCTGTGAATTTTTACTATTTTATTTTATTTTACTTTAATTTTATTTTTCATTTTGTTGTGGTTATGATATGTTGACCACCACTTTCTTTAAGAAGTGTCCCTCATGTGGAGGGAAAAGCCTCCCAATGGATGGGTGTTTTATGTGTCTGCGATGCCTGAGGAGAGGCCTTGGAGTATGAGCTGGCACCTTCTGCCCCTTTTTTCACCCCTCAGACATGTAAGAGTCGTGATTTGCATCCTATGGCCCATCTCTTAAGTAGGCCTTTCCTTTCACTCACCCACCCCGCGCCAATTTTCAGAGGGAGTGGTATTTGGGCCTACTGCCCTCGTGCGGAATACTGCCGCTGAGGGGGCCATTTACCGTGCTACAGCTGAGGGGCTAGGGTACTTTCAAATGTTTTGCATCTTTGGATAGCCGTCTGGCCTCAGTCAGGCGCAATGCTATGTAGCCCAAGGCGGCTCCACTGTCTACCAGTCAGGGAAAGGCCTCTGAGTGGGCCAAACAGCCAAAGAAATCTTAAAAAGAAAGGCTCCTTGGATCATGCTCCTGTCCTAAAGGGCCTGGTCTAGGGGATACTGGGAGCTGTAGTCCGGAAGAGAGTGTGGATATGCAATTGTGTGTTTTGTTTGCCAGGGGAATCATTTCTGCACATGCGCAGTAGCATCTTTTTGCTTTTTTGGCTTTTTATGTCCCTTCTGCTGTGTTTTTCAATGTTTTTATGAGTGATGGTTATTCCTTGGCCTGATAAGTGTCTTGTGTCCAAATTTGGTGTCAATTCATCCAGTAGTTTTTGAGTTATGTTAATCCCACAAACGAACATTACATTTTTATTTATATAGATGTGTTCTATATAGACTAAAAAGGTCTCTGAATTGTTGGTATATTTTCTGGGGGAAAGTTGCCTCTTTCAAAAATTGATTCAATTACTTAAAAATATTTTGGAGATTTAACTGCCACACTGAGGGAGGGGGTGTGAAGCATGTCTTTTCTTACCCCATATCCCACATGCTCAGAAAAATTGCAGATAAGGCTCTCCACTTCCCTACCTCTAGCATTCACCTTTTTCAGCCGTGTCCATTTACCAATCTATTGCATCCATCCTTTTACTAATGAATTTAGCCTCACTTGGGAATAGGCCTTTGTTATTGATCAGGTCTTAATTTTTGGTCCTGGTAACTTCCTGTTGCTTTGCTTGCTCCAAAGTGGACTGCTCTTTTATCTGAACCTGGCCTGTCACTTCTTAGACTCTAACCTGGCAAAATTCTTATTGCTGTGCTCCCTGGTCTTGGGAATACACTTCCTTCAGTATGCATATAGCACATTTTTGTAGCTTTGCAATTTGATGGTTTCTGTGCAACCTGTCAAAATGATAATAAAGTTTTGTCTCTGTTTGGTTCTGTTCAATTCTAGATACTGCATCAGCAATTCTCTAGCACCTATATACAACATACAACTGACCACAGCTCATTTACCTCTGGATGAGAGACCATCCTCAAAAACAGTGAATGCTAAGACGGTTGTATTGAATGCTAGGCGTTTTCAGGTGAACCTTTTTATTTAGCAAACTCTTATTTCCTTCTGGTTGGGCCAGAAGAGTGTTTGGTTAAGCATGAAGAGTGTTTGAAAGTTCATAAGCTACATAATAAAGCTGTTCCTGACTCTTCTGTGCAGATTTTGAATTGACCAAGTAAATTATGCGTGTTCACAAAACTGACTTTCATTTGGCACTGTTGTTTTTTTTTCAAACAGTTTTTATAAGGTGGTAATATTAATTTTAGCGGCTTTCAGAAAAGGGTTTTTTTAAAAAAATATATAAATGAACATGCATACAAATGTATTTAGCTATTGGTACAAAAGTGGCTGTTGCTTAAGCATTAAATGCTCCATGCCTCTTTGTGCTCGGATTTCTTGGAAAAAGTGTGAGTAAATATGTGGAAAAAACTCAGAAGTGCTTTTATACCATAAGTGTGTAAATGATTAGTGTTTGTATTGCAGAAAGCTGAGGGCACTGTAAATAATAGGCACATCAGATCACCACATCAGAATGCAGATACTGGTGAGTAGAAATTAATATTGTAAATTTAATGAACGTTCATAATTATTAGAATGGGGTTTTTTTTCACACGTGTATTGCTACTATTTCTTCCTCTTCTTCTAATCCCCCCCTCCTCCTCCTTTTGTGCAAGGAAAAATTCCCCAACATAGCAGATTTTTTTCTTGAACTTCAGGCTTGTCTACTGCAGTCCAATACTGTTTCAGTTTCTTTTGCATCATCAGGTGTACCACTACTTGGTGTATTTGTTAAATAGTTCAGGGGTTTCTCTACATTGATGCATGTTAAAACAGTATTTCTTCTGTGGAAAAGAGAATATCCTTGTCATTTCTTGCTCAATTTCTACAGAGAGCCTCAGTCATCTGTGTTCACAGCTGCCACATTTTGTGTCTGATTATGGAGCATCTTCAAGATAGAAGTTTTTACATTTGTGCATTGCATTGTTAATTGCTTCTAGTTTTGTATTTTTTTAAAAACTGGCTGTATATAATCCATTTAAATAAGGATCATGTGATAGAAATCTGATCTACTTTCATGATATTGCAGGTATACTTGTATGTTGAGTTGAACATCATAATATATGTTGTTCATTGGACTATAGCTTGGCTACTTCTTGTCCAGCTCTGATTTTTCCATTTGTACCGTCCAAGATGTGTGCATGTTTTTTAGATGTGCTTGACCTTCCCTTCAATACTTAGAAGAGCAACTTGGATGCATAAAGTTAATGCTCAACTTTTAAAAATAGGATGCTGTAAAGACACATGACCAGTTAATGTCAGTGAACTTAAAAGGTAAAATACAGTCTTTGAGGTGGTGACAGCCCTTATGATTTAGCAGGGAAATACAGTGCCTGTGAACATGATGCAGGGGAGAGAAATCTTTGATAGGTAGTGTTAGGGGAAACTACCCTAAAATATAGCAGAGCATCCAAAAATCAAACATGATACATGAAATTGAGCATTCAGCTCACTAGCGAGCAAAGCATGAAGTGTAATTGGTTGTGGCTGTAAGAGGGGAAAAAAACACCAATCACTACATCTCTCTGACACACACGCAGAGAGATATCTCAAAGCACACAGCACATACTAAGATGTAAGAAACAGAAGTAAAAGTTTGCAGTAGAAAAGTATTCATTCTACACAACCAATCAGAATGAGAGCAGAAATGGGGAGAAAAAAATAGATACATTCCCAACTGCCATACAGGAGACGTGTGGGAAGGAAAACCCGTCTATACTGAACTAACAAACTTCTCCTCGTTGAGGACTTGAGATTTGGGCAGTGTGGGGTTGAATTCCAACAAGTATAACTTAACCTCTGAGTTCTGTTGAACTAGCAATCACAGTTTATTTATTGTAATATTCTCATGTGATCTGGATGATTTTGAAGTACATTTAGTTTGTATACTGACAGAAATGCATTATTTGCTTAGGTAATTATCCTGCAGGAGTGAAAACAGCGTGTGAACCAAGCACTAGATGCGGAAGAGGAATTGCACGGTTCTTTGCACAAGCAGCCCAGCCAATAGAAGCTCACACTAAAGAATCTCCTGGCAAGGACAACTCTTTTTAGGATTCCTGCCATCATTGAGAATTGAAAGGCATTACAATGACAAATGTTTCACATTAAATGTTTGTTCCCCTTAATTAATGTTTACATCCTATGATTTGACATTTTCCTAAATGTTAAAAAGTAAGAAAGAATTAAGTTGGTCTACAGCAGGTTGTAATGAATACTTCTCAGTACCTTTGTGAATTTAGTAGAAATGAGAGAAGATGGGGTAAAGTGAAACCAGTAGTAAAGTATTCTTAAGCAATTTCTGAATCAGTGAAGACTGTTGTATGCAGTTTGCAGACAGAAAAACTGGCATTCTGGTATTTACACCTGGTATTCTGTGGTAGCATACTTGCTCTGCGTGTAACATAAGAATCCTTCAATTGTAATTATTTTAGTTGCTTTAATGAATCCGTCCATTCCCAAAGACTGGGAATGTGTTTTGTACATTGTTTCTATAAAAGAGCTTAAATTAGCTATATATTGTTCAAATAGAATCAAAGAGTTGATAGTTAAAAAAAAAACCTAGAAACACTTCCTCCCCCAAAGTTTTAAAGTTCTAATTTAGTAGAACAATGTAGTTAATCCTCTTTTTTTATCCTCCCTTGATGTAATCCAAATTATTAAGCATTCAGAATGCTCAAGGCCCTAAATATGATAGACCAGTTTTATGTTATAAATTCAGTTATAATTGAGTTTGATGTGTTCTATGCATGTTTCTTGGTGTCAAAATATATTTTAAGTTAGGGTTGTTGTAGGTTTTTTCGGAAACCTAAAAAAAGGGTTTATGACCAGGGTGAGACAAAGGACTCTTGTCTGCTGAATAAAATCTGGCTACCAGTATTAAAAAAACTCAAAAATTACAACAGCACAACAAGAGAGAGGAATAACCTGAATAACCTGTTATCTCTGATCTGTTAGAAAAAATGAGATTTTTGCCAATGCATAAAGAACAGCAGTGCTTCAGAAGTGTTTTTCAGTGCCCAAAAAACAGCATGTTTTATATCATTCACTCAGGAGACAAAAATGAAGTAAACTTGAATAAGAATAAGATTTGGTTTACTCACAACCTTCATGAGTTCAGTATTCATAGGTATAAAACTTATCAGTCCAGTTTCAGATATGTTTGAGATAATTCTCTGTGCCATCTGGCCAGGACATCTCTTACAAGCAAGTGTGTGATCTGAGCAAGATCCTTTCTAAAATGAATCCGAGAGATATCTTGGAGACATCGTTCACATGCATATTCCTCGGCATACAGTCATTTTCCATTTTAGCCACTGCTGACTTTGAAATATGTTGCTACTATCTGGATGGCCCACTTTGTCCTTGACAGTGCCATACCATGAAATCTTCTGCCTTGGATATGATGCAAAGAATGAAGGTAGCAGCCTTTCTTTTCTCCATGTACCTCTCTTGTCCTTTCTGTCGCCTAAAGAAGGCTTGTACTGCACTGGGGTGCCATTTACACTGACCATTTAATGCAGTTTTTAAGTGAGTCTTCAAACAAACACCTACAAAAGCATATGAAAGAAAGGCCTTAATGTGCATTAGTACAGAGTACTCACCATCTGGGCCTCAAAATGGTTTCAGGATTCCCTGTGTAATCATGTGCCCAGATATTGGAAGTATGATAGCACTTCAGTTATCTGATTCGTGGTATGGTTACGTTTTTTCATTAGTTTCCAGATTTCTATTTCAAAAGTTTGACTTTGGGGTCGATAAAGCAAGAGGAATGAACTTTTCACTACCGTACATATATGGCTCATAGTTTGCAAAAAAATATTGCACGAATTTGAGTTGACACTAATACAGTGTTATGATCTCTTTTACATTCTTACCAGGACATGTAATGAATTCATCACTTCAGGAATATCTCAATCGTAATAGAAGCATATGGCCTTACCAAAGTTTGGAAACTTGAACTTATTATGGCTGAGGGATTCATAGAGCTGTAGTCCAATGTGTCATTATTTTAGAGATGAAGAATGCTCATTTAGACTTTTGACTATGTTGGTCGGTATTTGTGCAGATTTTTTCTTAAGCTCTGACACCCAAGAAGCTAATGTTTTAAGAATCACTTTATAGGTCCCTTCAAATTGGAACAAAGAATACTGTTATTAACGAAACCTTGTATTATCTGTTCACTCACTTTTTGTTAGCTCTTGTGTAATTCCTAACAATCTGTTGTAATTGCTACTTTCAAGAAATTCCATACTTCTAGAACTGCAGGTGAATGCAGGCTGCAAGATGTTTTCCGAGATCTGAGACGTGTCATATTACTTAGTTCCTGTGCATTTTGTATTATGACAAAAATTGTCTCACAAAGATGCAACGAAGTAATGAACTTGACCATTAAGACTATTATTGCATAGGAAAACATTATTCCACAAATGTTTGTTAGGTTTCTTCTTTAGTTTATTTTGCAACAGGAAACCCATTTACAGCACTATTCTAAGAACTTGGGAGGTTCTCCACAAGCAGCAAAGTGTGTGTGCCCTGTTTAGAGTTTTCCTTTTACTTTGGAATAAAAATGTCAATCTGGCCAGTATGACTAATTTTCCAGGATTTGTTTTTTGTATCTGTTGGGTAAGATGATATAGGAAATTAGTGATGTGCTGCTCTAGCAAATGCTGAGAAATAATGAACAAGAAAGTCTAGCTGCATAAAAGATGTGTAGACATGACCACAAAGAAATATAAAATCAAATTGCCCTGAATTAGAATTCTGTAAGTACATCTGCACATTTTTTTCAACTTTTTTTTGGTAGGCTGACTATTCATTAGGCTAATTTTCTTGGGGTAAGCACTTGCATTTGTTGTTACATCTAGTCATATATACATTAAGGGTATTGCAATACAGGACTTCTGGAAAGATCCCATCAGTGTTGCTTTTTTTAAAAAATATGCAAATCTCTCGGGAAGACATGGAGAAACATCAGTGTTCTGCTCCCTTCATAGTCATGTGCCCATCTGCCCATGTAAGGTAGAGAAAGCAAATGTGAGGTGCAAGGGGTGTGTGAGAAGCCTCTTTTCCATCATTGGCACCAGCGGGTCCCACTCCTCCCCTATATTCACACATGTAATTCTTCATCCTTGCCCCTTACCTAGTTCAGTCTCCCCCAACCAAAGTTTTGAAAGACTGTATCACCACTTTACTTCCTCTAAAAAGGACAGTTATTTCTTGCCATCAGGACCAAAATAAATGTGTTTTGCCTGGGCTTTTTCAGTCTCATCCAGTCTGGTAATTGACATCGAAATGCCAGTTCAGAACTAGAATGGTTTCCTTAAATTTAAATTGGGTATCATCTGCATACTGAAGGAATCAAAGCTCTGTTTTTCCCTGTGGTTTAATGTATATCATCCTGGGAGATCCTGTTTGATGATGACCATAGCCATGAACCGTAGTCACCATGTACAATTTTCTGAACTCTTTCCCTCCAGAAAATATGGGAACCAACATAATTGCTTTCAAAATCCTTTTTCTATAGTTGGTTCTCATATTTTCTAAATTTTATTTTCGGTTATTAAAATTGGATTAAAACTAAAAATACTCATGCACCCTGAGGCATTCTTAGTAGGCATTACAAGATAGATCACTTTTGAAGACATAATATGACAGACTTTTCATTCTGATGACAACTGCAGCAAGAATTGTGTATGCGCAGATGTGGAAACTAGAAGGAACCAAAAATGGAAGAATTAATAATAAAAGCCAAAATAGCGGAAATGGACATTTTGACAAGGTATCTTCGCATAAAAGACCCTTCAATATCCAAAGACTGGGAACCCTTCAGAATTTCATGGAAGAAAAGAAAATTCCAACATGGGGATTTCATGTTTAAAATGTTATTCTATTAGATTAGATTAGATTTTATGCAATGAATAGATAATATGGAAACAACAAATAGTCTTACGTGTACAAGAAAGGCTATGTAAAAATTTGAAGATATATTTCAGTAAAAAAACCCATACTATAATGTTTCTCAACCTGGGGATCGGGAGCCCTGGGGGCACCGTGAGGGGGATTTCAGAGTGGTCACCAAAGAACACCAGAAAAAACGTATTTCTGATGGTCTTAGGAACCCCTTTGGCAGAGAAGGCTGAAGATTTCTGCCTGTCCTCTTTCTTTTTGGAAACAGGGCAAATCCTCTCACCAAAACCCCTCCTGCTCTCTGGATGTAGGAGAAATAACACTCCAAAACTCAAGGTCAGTGCCCACCAAACCCTTCTGTTGGTCATGGGAGTTCTGTGTGCCAAGTTTGGTTCAATTACATCGTTAGTGGAGTTCAGAATGCTCTTTGATTGTAGGTTAATCATAAATCCCAGTAACTACAACTCAAATGACAAAATCAATTCTCCCAACCTCATCAGTATTAAATTTTGGGCGTATTGGGTATTTGTGCCAAATTTGGTCCAGTGATTGAAAATGCATCCTGCATATCAGATATTTACATTCCGAATTAACAATAGCAAAATTACAGTTATGAAGTAGCAGCAAAAATAATTTTATGGTTGGTGGTTACCATAAAGTTGCAGCTTTAGGAAGGTTGAGAACCACTGCCATACAAGAAGGATTCTCTGGTCATCGATACCCAAAACAGCCACTTTGAATTTTGTTCCATAACTAGGCCAAAGCAAGATTGAAATGGAACAAGATGATCCATGTCATCTCAACTATATGGAATAATGGAAATCTGGCCAGAAAATATATTTATAGATTTATGTCATGCTCATATGTATGCCATTTGAGTAACAATGTGAATGATAATTGAAGACAGGACTTGAAAATAGTTACTTCTGGTAACTATCCTATGTCCTCTTACAAGGGACTGGAAGCTCCACTCAATAGTATCTTTAGAGAAAGTAAGGGATCTTATGCCCTTAAGAGAAGTCTGCTTTACAGCAAGAAAGACAGTACTTTTGTGACTGATGTAAAATCACGGTATAAATAACAGTTTTTTGTTCCTTTTATATCGCTCAATGCTGTATTATATAAGTTGGTTATACATTTAATATTGTATCATATAAGCTGCAAAAAAACCATTTACCTTTGTGATTTATATACTATAATTTGTAGTGGATTTGTGTTTGTTGTGATTCTGGCAATCCATTGTCTTTTGTGTAACTATCCTATGTCCCCAATCAGTTCTAAAATGATCTGCGAAGGAAACTTTTATAGCACTTTACTGAATGACCTATATGAATAATGTATTGTCAGAAGTCCTGATATGAATTCTCCTACAGATGTAAATAATTCCTTTCAGTTTGTTTCTCTTCATCTTTTGTTGGAAATATATTCTTTTCTATGCACAGCTTAGCCCTTCAGCTGCCTCTGAAGTTGTTGATTCTTATGTTAACTTTCTTCCTTTTCAAACATTTGCTGTTAATAAAAAGCTGCTGAAATGAATTCCCAAGGGTGGGATGAGGACATAAGCATTTAGAAAGGATACTCAGGACATCAGCTTTTTTCTTTTTTTTCTTTTTCTTTTTTTTTCTTTTGAAAAAGAAACTACATGTGAAAGTAGAAAATCAGAATTTCATTTTATTGAACAGAGACAGGAAATGAGCATGAGAAGAAAGGAAGAGAAATGAATACAGATTCAGAGAGGCACAGTTGAAATGAAAAGAGTAGATAGAGGAAGGAAGGGTGAAGAGGGAGAGAAGAACGAAAGGAGGTCCCATTAATACAGAATAATATGGCAATTTGATACACATTTAAGTAACATGGCTGCATTCTGCTCAAACCTGATACTTAGGATTTTCGTGGCACTGGCAGATAATTCAAAATATCTCGCAAAACTACAAACTCTTAAGGTTCTTATCAAGTATGGGCAAACCCAGGCCTGGGGGCTGGATATGGTCCTTTGGGCTCTTCTCAGGCCCTCCTATCTCTCGCCATCCTATCTTTCCTTCGCTCTTTCCTTCCTCTTTACCTCTCTCCCCTTCTTTTTCCTTCCAGCCTTCTCTTCCACCCTTTCATCCTTCCTTTCCTCTTTCCTCCTTCTCTCCCCTTTCTCCTTCCTTCCTTCCTTCCTGCCTTCCTTCCTTCCTGCCTTCCTTCTTTTTCCTTCCACCTTCCCTTCTTTTCATCCATACTTCCCTTCCACCATTTCCTCCTTCCCTTTTGTCTTGTCTTCTTTCCTTCCTTCCTCCTTACCTCTCTCCCTTCCCTCCTCCTTTCTGCTTCCATCCTTTTCTTCCACCCTTTCATTCTTCCTTCCCTCTTTCCTCCCTCTCTCCCATTCCTCCTTCCGTCCATCCTTCTCTTTGTCCCTTTCTTCCTTTTCCTTCCTTCTTTCCTTGCTTCCTTCCATCCATCCACCGTTCTTCCTTTCTTCCCCCTCTCTCCCCTTTCTCCTTCCTTCCATCCATCCTTCTCTTTCTTCCTTTTCCTTCCTCCTTCCTTTCATCCATCCTTCCCTTTCACAATTTCTTCCTTCCCTGTTGTCTTTCCTTCCTTCTCTTTCCTCCCTCTCTCCCCTTCCTTCCTTCCATACATCCATGCATCCTTTGCTATTAAATTATATTATAAATTAAAGAAATTATTCACAAGGATGTAAAAACTAGTCAGATTTGACATTTCCTCATGTAGCTATAATTATGTTGACATATTGATAGAAACTATAATGGCAGCAGCTGGTGTCTTTCATATTGGAGGTCTATGTATGGATCCACTCTGATGTCTAAATTTTAGAAGAGCTATGCACAATGCTGAACCTTATCTCCCAAATAGGCTCTGCAATTCAGCTCCTTAAAATTTTGTATTAAATTTTGGCCTGAATTTGCCTCTCCAGTGACTGGAAAGCCACGGACTGCCATTTCTGAGTCAACTTGTTAAGGGCAATTAGTCATGTCTGTATATGTCTCTGGAGAAATTTTACCGTTTAGCCAGTATTGCACCACCAGACATCAGCCGGGAAGTAGCCAATAGTGAAAGGACCAAGGCAGTGACATCTCCAGCCCATCCCCTGTTTGGATATCAGCCAACATGCCAATGCCTTAAATCAAGAAATAGTTTTCTAAGATCTACACAGATACTTGCAGGAACACCCCAGCAAGCGAGAGTTCAAAAGTGACAGGCCAAAACCCTCAACCTCAAGCCATGGCTGATACTAAATGAGAGACTCCCCCAGGGCACATAGAAGACTCGACGACTGAACAGACTGTTCATTGGCACTATGAGATGCAGAGCCAACCTTAGGAAATGGGGCCACAAAGTGGAGTTCTTGACATGCAAGTGTGGAGAAGAGCAGACCACAGATCACCTATTACAATGCAGTCTGAGCCCTGCCACATGCACAGTGGAGGACCTTATAAGCAACACCAGAGGCACTCCAAGTGGCCAGCTACTGGTCAAAGGACATTTAGTGTAATGCCAAGTTTTTAAAACTTTGTGTTTTTTAAATACATTACAACTGTACCCTCAGTTTGTTTCTGATCTGATAAATAAATAAATGTCTAATACCAAAAGGAAGCCAATCTATTTACTGCTACAAGTAGAGCACAAATATGTTAGACAATGCTTAGAATACATCTTTAATATTTTTTTAAAAAACTTGCCAAGTTCCAAAAATAAACAGAAAATTCAGTAGAAAAGGAATCATTAACAATTCACGCATTTGAGGCTGTGCAGCCAGCTGCAATTCTAACTGCAGGAAATTAAACACTTCTGAAATGGAGGACTCTTATTATTTTCATTTCTGAGTCACCTTCCAAAACGAGTGCTATTTGGCTGTGCTAGTATTTAAAGAATGTACAAAAATGAATCTGAACACAATGATGCAGCCAAGGGTGGGACAGGTTAAATGGACTGTCCAACAAATATCTGTGATAGTCATGTAATCACATTCTAAACAGCAGATGCAATAGATGCATTGGCAGGGGAAAGCAAGTCTAACTACTGATTTTAAGATTTGAATCATGGAAAAATACAGTATCTTCAGAACTAAGGCACAGCTGTGATGCGTGGTATCTAGAACTTACCAAGCAAATAAGTCGCAAGCAAACGTTGTATTATAAATGAAATAAAAATGTCATATATTTGTCTATTAGTTTAATGGTAGTGGAAGATATATCTGAACCAGCTCTCTGTTTATGTATGTGTGTGTGTGTAAAATAGCTGATAGAAAACTAGCATGAGGCCAAATTCTGTAATCCCTGAAGACCTCTGTTAAGGCAATTTCCCTACCAGTTTGGAAGAGAGGAACAGGTTCCAAGTCTAAATGAGAAGGTTGGGAGCCCGGAGAATCCAGCTCCAGAGGGTGCTCCTTCAGGGCACTTCTCTGTCATGTTTACTCATCACCTAACTGAGGAGATCATTGAGGCATCATTGTCTCAAAAGGAGCCTTGAGGTGGCAGCATTCACCAGGGCCTCATTCACTGTCTGGTGTTTGCAATGGAAAAGGCCAGAGCCAAAGAATGCCAGCTCATTGGGAACTCGTACCAGAAGGCAGCATAGTTAAAGCAGTGGTATTTCCTGTAGTAACCTATGGATGTGAGAGCTGGACCATAAGGAGGCTGAGCGAAGGAAGATAGATGTTTTGAACTGTGGTGCTAGAGGAAAATTCTGAGAGTGCCTTGGACCGCAAGAAGATCCAACCAGTCCATACTCCAGGAGATAAAACCTGGCTGCTCACTGGAGGGAAGGATATTAGAGGCAAAGATGAAGTACTGGGTTGTTGTAGGTTTTTTGGGCTATATGGCCATGTTCTAGAAGCATTCTCTCCTGACGTTTCACCTGCATCTATGGCAGGCACCCTCAGAGGTTGTGAGGTCTTCACAACCTCTGAGGATGCCTGCCATAGATGCAGGTGAAACATCAGGTGAGAATGCTTCTAGAACATGGCCATATAGCCCAAAAAATGTACAACAACCCAGTGACTCCAGCCATGAAAGCCTTCAACAATACAAAGATGAAGTACTTTGGCCACATAATGAGAAGACAGAAAAGCTTGGAGAAAACAATGATGCTGGGGAAAATGGAAGGGAAAGGGGCTGATCAAGGACAGGATGGATGGATGGTATCCTTGAAGTGACTGGCTTGACCTTGAAGGAAATGGGGGTGGCCACAGCTGACAGGGAGCTCTGGCATGGGCTGGTCCATGAGGTCACGAAGAGTCGGAAGTAGCTGATTGAATAAACAACAACAAACCACAAGGCAGCAGTTCTGCTAAGCCTTGGAACACACTAGAGCAGTGATTCTCAACCTGTGGGTCACCAAATGTTTTGACCTTCAACTCCCAGAAATCCTAACAGCTTGTACACTTGCTGGGATTTTTGGGAGTTGAAGGCCAAAACACCTGGGAACCTACAGGTTGAGAACCACAAGTCTATAGCTTTTCCATGTCTGTGATTGTCTGTTGGTGTTTATGTTATCGAGCAAGCATGAGGGCTACTTGCCAATTGTGGAGTGGGCCCAATTACTCCACAATAACCATGCCCTCTGCTGATCTACCATCCTGATATGCCTGCCTGAGGCCAATGAATCCCCTGTGTTTTTTAAAAAAATCTTCACCCCTGTTGCAGGTGGGATGGTGTCAATTCTCAACAATTTACAATCACAAGACACACATAATTGCTTTCTATTATGTGGCAATGGTGAAAATGTTTATAATGTCATTTTCTTACCCTCCCTTTTCTTGGGCAAAATTGAGAAAGAAACTTATAACCTGGTTAGCCTTTCAACTTGACTGTTCTTCATGTGTTTTAATGTATTCCATTATGCCACCAGATTCCCACCCCCACCCCATTGCACAATCTTCTATGCATAATGTCCTGGAAAGGCACACCAGAGAAGTGAGGGAGGAATAATCCATGTGTGCCATTTTTTTTCTTTCTCCCTGCTGGAAATGCTTGTTTCTAGGCCACGGCTTCAGAAGACTCTACAGATGGTCTGCGGGCTGGTGGCATTTGTAAAGTGTGGTTCTCATTCTCCCCCTCCTCTTCCTTCTGAATCTCTTCTTCAGATGGTCCTCGGATTATAGCAGGCACATTTGGTGGCTGGTAGCGATTTTCTGTCTCTCTAAATATTCAATAAAGAAGGACATGGGTTTTAGTTAACAATGATTTTTATTTTAAACATAGTTATAAGCAATGACTCAATACTGCAGAACTAGAACTGCCAACCATTATTTTAGTTTTCTTGCAGTCTGAATCAAATCTTGAGCTGTAAGTGGGTAAAAGTCATAGCATAAAGCTATTATTTCTTTCCTACTTCCTCTGTCAAAATAGTGCTCTGTAGCCAAGTTACACAGCAAGTGTTCTGTTGCAAAGTATCTAGTTTAAATAAAAGCTTGCTGGACATCAAAATTATATTACATTTGCATTCAATAAAACAAATGAACCATAGCTACATATCACTTATGAAGTATTTATTTATTTATGACATTTACATCCTGCCCTTCCCACCGGAAAGGGGACTCAGAGTGGCTTACAAGTTATAGGTACATACAATATATTATATTATTAGCATAGCACAATAGTAGTACCATATATTACTATATTGTACTATACCATTATACTGCAATAGTATTGGTAATCTTACATGTAATATAAAATATATAATTATTATATTTTTATTGGTATTATATAGTATTACAATATTATGGATATTATATGTACATACAATATATTATAATTATTAGCATAGCACAATATTAGTATATTGTACGATACCACTACACTGCAATATTATTAGTAGTATTACATATAATATGTAATAGACAATTACTATATCATACTAGTATTAGTTTTATATTGTATTATAATATTATAAGCAGGTGCCTGTAGTTGAATGCCACCCACTCTACATGACTTGCTTTCTAAATTTTATTTTCAGTCATTAAGATTGGATTTGATCATAATGTTTACACATTCCAAAGGTTCATTAGTTAATTGATCCATCACCATAATTACAAGAAAGACTTGTGGCAGGTGTTCTAAAACAGTGGTTCCCAACCTTTTTTTGACTAGGGACCACTCTCCAACATTAGTACCAAAAGGATTGTAAATCAGTTTTTGGTCAACTTTAGGTTTGGTTTGGTTATTTGAGGTGCTGGTTAAGAAAATTGCATTGGATAGACCACATCAGCTCTAGTTTCTGATACAGAACATATGCCATCCAGTAGCCACTATCTGCTCACCTACAGAAAACCATATTTAATATTCTATAGCTGATGTGGTCTGCTCGGCACTATAAGAGGATTTCGTAAGACTAGTGGCTCTCGTTGCAATGGTGTAGTAACAGTGAGGCCGCAAACCATATTTTAGTTTTTGAGGACCACTGGTGGTCCACAGACCACAGGTTGGGAACTACTGTTCTAGAATGATAGCATCATGAAGTGGGCTGTAATCTCTGAAATATACTACAATAATTTCCTTAACTGATAAGATACGTAAAAAAAATTGTTCGTGGTTTTGAGGATTTTCTCTTTCTTTCATTGGAATGGCCAAGACACAATCACCAGAAGAAGAAGCAGCAGCAGAAGAAGGCCTTTTACTGAGACCCACAAGAAGCCACGTTCTGGCAAAGCCAAAGGTGTCAAACTTGTGGCTCTCCTAGTGTTTGGGCCTCCAACTTCCAGAAGCCCAAGCCACCTTATCCAATGGCCAGTAATTCTGGGAGCTGAAGTTCAAAATACCCGGAGGGCCATAGGTGTGTCACCACTGTGTTAAGCATATCAACATATCTGTATATTCCTTCATATATGTCAAAACAAAAGTTGGAATGGGCTGCTGTGAGTTTTCCAAGCTGTATGGCCATGTTCCAGAAGCATTCTCTCCTGAAGTTTTGCCCACATCTATGGCAGGCATCCTCAGAGGTTGTGAGGTCTGTTGGAAACTAGGCACGTGGGGTTTATATATCTGTGGAATGTCCAGGGTGGGAGAAAGAACTCTTGTCTGCTGGAAACGAGCGTGAATGTTGAAATTGGCCACTGATTAGCATTTAATGGCCTTGCAGCTTCAAAGCCTGGCTGTTTTCTGCCTGGGGGAATCCTCTGTTGGTAGGGTTAGCTGGCCCTCCCAACGAAGGATTCCCCAGGCAGCAACCATCCTATTAGAGAGTAGATAATCACAGAAATAATCTCTGTTTACCCTTTAAACTAGTTCACAGCACACATATGCCCTAATTTTAAGGATAGTGAATTAAAGAGTCTAATCATGCTTCCTGAGCAAAAATTAATTATTTCATGCAACAGCTGAAAAGCTATTTGCATTTAAAACCACATGTTTAATTGTATGAATCTTTTCTATATTATAATTGATGGAAATAAATACCGCATTTTTTTCTATTACAAAAAAGTCTTGCATCATCAGATTATAGTGGGCACAGTAAGGAAAGCACTGGGTGCATTTTGTTTGAGAAAAGAAAAGAAAACCGTTTTGCCTCCTCTCCAACTGAGATTACATTAGTTCAATGTCACAGCGACACAAGAATTTCCCTTGTGTGGAATCCCTTATCCATCTCAGGGGCAGGAAGCATTCTGCTGCTTTTATATCACCCACTCTTTCCAATGAAAGGTACTCACGTTAGTTCATAGTCTTTATCCTTTGATTTCTTACAGCAACAACAATAAGCCACAATGATGACGATAATGACTACAGCAACAAGTCCACCAATAACTCCACCAATGAGGGCAAAATTCATTGATGCTGTAGAGGAGAAGAATTGCACTTAGTTACCCCACCGTTGATAAACAAAATCAGTTTCCCTTGGCTGGAGAGGGGAGATGTTGGACCAAGTTATCTTTCACTATTTCTAATCTTCCTAAAATTGCCTACAGCAAACAATGTAGAGACCTAAAGGAAATCCTGTAGGACCCTTGAGACTAGGAAGAAGGTATCTTTAGCATGAGCTTTTGTAGACTTGGATTACTTTATGGAAAGTCCAAAGTATGTGCTAGAAATGTCTTCTTCCCACTTAGTTTCAAAGGTGCTACTAGATTTCTTTGGGTTTGTTGTGTACAGTAGAGTCTTGCTTATCCGACTTTTGCTTATCTGACATTCTGTCTTATCTGACACTCTTATTCAATGGCCCCCTTTTCCTCCAGCATCTCCCCTTCAATTAAAGGAGTGCTCCTCAATTTTCTCTCCATTCCCAATATGTGAAAAAGGCAAGACGAGGAGAAGGAGGAAGGAGGAAAGGAGGAAAAGATCCAGGACCAGAAATGGAAGTGTCCTCCCTCCTTCCCTCTGTGATTTTCATGCTTTTCTCCCACATCCGGGCACTTCCTGCTGGGCCGCTCTAGCCCCAAGGCGTTGCATTGCCTTAACCCTTTGTATCCCTGTTGTTAGAATTCTAGGTGTCCAGCACCATGTCGGATGGGTAACAGGAGGAGACCCCGTATTATCCGACATTTTCGTTTATCCGACATTCTGCTGGCCTGTTTATATCAGATAAGCGAGACTCTACTGTACCTTCGAGTTGTTTCTCACTTATGGCAACCCAAAAGCATTGGGGGGAGGGGGGTGTTGAGATGGCGGGATTTGTTCAGAAGGGGTTGCCTTTGCCTTCTTCTGAAACTGAGAGAAGGTGACTTGCCCAAGGTTGCCCAGTGAGTGTCTATACCTGAGCAGGGATTCAAATCTTGGTCTCCAGAGTCATAGCCCAATGCTCAAGCCACTATGCTGGCTCTACACTGGATTCCTTTATGTTATGCTAAAACAGACTAACAGGATGATGTCTTTGAATGAATAAAACAAAGGAAACTAGCAAATCTGGGTTATGACTTAACCAGTCATAAGTGAGAAGAAACACACTGTCGGATGGAATAACATGAATATTATTTGCACTATATATTCTTTTGGCAAGTAGTGACACAGTTGATTTGGTTTGTTGACAGACTGGCAGCACCTAGCATGACCCAATAATTAGGCTTTTGCTATAAACGACATACAGTCCTAGATTTGTTTGGGATGGAGGAATATCTATTGTTTGGAGGAATAGAGTATAAATGGATGGAAAGAACTACAATTGATTATCCATGCTTGATTTTTTTTTCTGTGTCAGGAGTGACTGGAGAAACTGCAAGTCGCTTCCGGTGTGAGAGAATTGGCTGTCTACAAGGACACTACCCAGGGGACACACGGATGTTTGATGTTTTGCCATCCTTTGGGAGGCTTCTCCCATGTCTTCACATGGGAAGCTATTGCTGATAGATGGGAGCTCACCTCGCTCCCCAGATTTGAACCTCCAACCTGTCGTTCAGCAGACCTGCTGGCACAAGGGTTTAACCATTGGGGCACCAAGGGCTCTTATCCATGCTTGATGGAAGTTTATATAACTTTCTGTACATCTTGTTCTAAGAAAATTAATCTATCTGCTACTTTTGTCAATCAACTTATTTTTAAATATTTCCCCAAATATAGCCTTCCAGGTGGAATTAGTGGTATTTGATGGCTTCCATGTTGGGTCGGGACAGTCATCCACTTCCCAATCAACACAAGCTCTTACGGGGCACCACAGCAAGATTGATGTTGCAGCTTTCTTGTCCAATTGAGTTTTTGGAGACGCAGGTGTAGTATCCAATGGTGTCTACAGAAATGTTCTTCAGCATAAGTGTTCCTCCTGTTTCCAAAGAAGGAATACAAAAACTTTGTGTCAGTATAGCAGATACAAATGTGTCATATATCCTCATTTGTGTCATGTTTCAATCTATGTTTTTTCCAGGCTTGTCCCTATGTAAGCTGCCCTGAGTCCCTTCGGGGAGATGGAGACGGGGTATAAAAATAAATTTATTATATTATTGTATTATCCATCTCATGATATTAAATCTAGTCTCACAAACCACCGGTGATTACATTTTTCAGTCAATATAATCACAGCCTAGGGAAATATGGAGTAGACATTTTGCTGCACTAACTCCTGCAGTGCAGATGGCAGAATGGTGCATTGGGATTGGTCTTCTACAACTAAGTGATCTTCAGAATACCTTCATATTTACAGAATGGTGCATTGTGGAATTCAAGAGTTAAAGCTATATACCAAAGTGAGCCAGCATAGGGGTATCATGCTGTAGTAAATTTGCGTATGGACTAAGACCCTGTTGTCCGCAGGAATACATTCCTGGCCAGACCAGTTATATGAAACTGCAGATCCATTAATGTCCATAAACATTAGTAATTTTAGAAACTGACATGAAGAATAGTGAATGTGAACCAATGGGTCATTGCATGCTATGAGGTCAATATGTCTCTTCTCCAGTTAGCATAATTTGTGCTGCTCACAATGGTCAGTCCACATTGGGGTAAAACCCTGCTGGTCTATCACACCAGGTAGATTGAGGAATACTGGTGAAAAGTATGAATTCATTGAATACATTATTTACTAGGCCTCCAGGCAAATTTTTACATAGAATCATGGAGTTGGAAGAGACCACATGGGCCATCTAGTCCAACCCCCTTGCTATGCAGGAAAAGCACAACCAAAACAACACCCCTGACAGATGCCCATCCTGTCTCTGTTTAAAAGCCTTCAAGGAATGAGATATTGTTGTGTTGGAGAACTTAATACATTCCTAGAGAGGACAGTGTTCAGTGGTTTCCCCTTCTTGTCTTAAAGCAATCCCATTAGCCATGCTGCCTAGAACTTGTGAGGTTTGCAGTCCAAAAATATGCAGAGGACTATAAGGTGCACTTATAATGGGCATGGCCAAAGTAAGAAAACATAATTTTTATTTGAACTGTGAAATTCACAAAAGTGGAAGTGGCAAAGAGAAAGCTTGTGGGGTGTGATTTGGGACTAATGCCCACAATCTTAGAATAGTATGAAAATAACTTGGAAAAGCCCCTTGTTTGAGTTCTACTTGTAGGCCAGTTACAAGGCACCAATTTAGGGAAGGTTGAGATGGTAAAAATAAGTTTAAAGGTTTTTTATATTATAAGAAGAGTAGGGATAAATAGAAATGTAAAGGTAGAGAAGTATTTTCCATTGAAAGTGCTTTTAGTCTGTCTGATTGTCTACAATAGGTAAGGCAAAGGTTTTCTCCTGATATTAAGTCCAGTCATGTCCGACTCTGGGAGTTGGTGCTCATCTACATTTCTAAGCCAAAGAGCCAGCGTTGTCCGTAGACACCTCCATGGTCATGTGTCCAGCATGACTGTATGTAGCGCTGTTAGTAGCTGACAAGTTATGGATACAGGAAATGCAGATGTTATACAGTCATCATACAGAAAGGAGAATAATATGCGCACCCGTGTCTATGTGTGTGAAGCCACATCTTATTAATAGTGCATGTACCAGCTATTGCTGCAACATAGCTATGTTTCATAGCTATTTGTCATTTCGTTTTTCTGAAACTTGTAGTATATAAATGTTAACATATTGATCCTTTCAAAAAGAAAAAAAATCAGCAATGAATGGCTTTCATCAAGAATGGACAATGTATGAGCACTCACAGTGCATTGAAAGGGCACACATTTTTCTGGTGCACTGTCACCATCTGTAGGTCAAGATGGAGAATAACAGGTACATTATTGCTGCTTATGGGAATATTATTATTTTTTGTTGTTGCAGTTGCTATTTTGAGCACTTATTTATAATACCAACAGGAAGTGGTCTTCCATCCAAATGTAGAAAAATGTTTGCACAACAGGATTCTTTAGTTGGAGGAGGAAAAATAAGCCACCTGCCTTATCTCTCCTTCTCTGGAGGAACATTCTGGTGGTGCTTATTGCAGGGGTCTCCTTTGTAGTTGCAAAGACTAGCAAAAGAACTCTAAGTACAGTACTCAAGCAAGAATTAAAGGGAATTACACAAATATCCCCCGAAAAGTGAATTAATGCAGTGAGGCCTACTTAAAAGAGCCCCAAAGTTTACACATTTATCCCATCAGTCACTAAAAGGAAACTTGCATAATCTCTTCCAATTAGAACCTGCAAAAACTATGAGGTTCCACTTAACACAAATTGCAAAACCTTAATTTCACACCTCCATTAGAGGTTTCAAGTTCAAGGAGAGTAGCAAGATTCACAGTGTGGGGTATCACATCTTTCAACAACAACAACAAAACACATATTAGTATATAGACAATCCCTGAGTTACAAACATCAGAATTACATGCAACTCATAGTTAAGTACAGGGGTGAGACAACAGGAAGTGAGAGAAATCTACCCCTAAGAAAGGAAATTCACTCCTGGAAAAGTGATCATAGGGAAAAGGTGTCTTCATTGAAGCTTTCTCACCAGTCCTGGTTTCCACAACAAACCAAAATGTTCGAAATCAAATTCTCACAAGGACAGAAAGTGAAATGAAATCTTCAGAACAGGGGCACAGACAGCAAAACAAACACCACGGAGGTATTGATCTTTCCTAATGCTATCCAAAGCTTATATAAGTTTATATAAACTTTGGATAGCATAGAGGTTAATATCCCTGCGGTATTTGTTGGAGCATGCAAGGAATCAGTTAATGTGTGTGTGTTAACTGTAAAATAAGATGCATGATGCATCTTATTTTACACAGATTGGCTGGGCACCGCCTGGAGAGATGGTTGAGCCTGGGACTTTTTGATACTGTTACATTTTTGTTCAGGCTTGAGCTGTGCACAGGTGGTTTGAAGAGAGAAGAAGAGGGATAGAGTTTGAAGTGTACTCTTGCTTCATGAGCTGCTGAAGGAGTTTATCCACATGGACAAAAGAAATAACATTTTAAATTTCTCATAAAAGAATATTATTTGGGTTGATTCAACTGATCAAATTGTACACATGTTGTTCTGAATTAAGAAGAGTAAACTATTTGTTCTTTACTCATTACCTGTGTGGCATATTTTCTTTCTCTGGCAAGGCAGTGTGTGGATTTATCAAACATGAACAACACATGGTTTATTTTATATTACACTACAGTGTTTGTTTTGCTGTTCAGAAGATTCCACCATATATATTTACATACAAATGCAACTTGAGATATATATATGTTACACCAGCTCCAGCACAGCCAATGACTCACGTGAAGAACATCTAGACCAGTGGTTCTCAACCTGTGGGTCTCCAGATGTTTTGGCGTCCAACTCGCAGAAATCCCAGCCAGTTTACCAGCTGTTAGGATTTCTGGGAGTTGAAGGCCAAAACATTTGGGGACTCACAGGTTGAGAACCACTTATCTAAAAAGTGTTGGTAGTTGGTGGCTTCCATGTCAGGTTACCACTGAATCTGCTCTGTTCTTTAGTCTGAACTCTGAAGAACGTCTAAACACTGGCACTACTTTGGAAATAGGAGTCAGTACCTTAAATAGCTCCTTTAAAATTTGAACTAAGTTCTGAAATGCATTTCCCATCAAACTGCAAGTGGAACCACTAGTCTCCAATGCAAGCGGAGCCCACGTTTTCCACCCCTACTGCAGACAAATAACCTTTCAGAAAAATGGGGAGTCAATTCCTCTGACTGGTTCTGTGTTGGCTATGAGTGAATAAAATATACTATCCCACTTCTTCCCAAAGGGAAAACCAGAGTCAGCCCCGGTTAGTGCTTGGATGGGAAACTGCCAATGAATACCAGCAGCTGTAGGCTGTATTTCAAAGAAAAGCACATGCACACACGCAGAGTTCAGTAATATCAGTGTATTTTGAATCAGGATGGGCACTTACAATTCCGTTAAAGCTGCTGCGGACTCAAACAGAAGTACATCTCTATGAGCTCAATTATTTGACATGATGGTGCTACCTGCCCTATACTATGGTGCAGAGACATGGACAATGACAAAGGCTCTCTCGGAACAACCTTGGGTTGTTCCGCGGAGGAGAGGGGGAGAGGGCGGGGGAGAGGCGAGAGGAGGGAGGGGAAGGGAGCCGGGGAGCGGGGCCGGGGCAGGGAGGGGGGGAAGCGCGAGCCAGGCAGCAGGACGGGCCTCCGAGTCCAGAGGACAGGAGCAGAATTCAAAACGATCTTGACAGATTAGAGAGATGGGCCAAAACTAACAAAATGAAGTTCAACAGTGACAAATGCAAGATACTCCACTTTGGCATAAAAAATGAAATGCAAAGATACAGAATGGGTGACGCCTGGCTCGAGAGCAGTACGTGTGAAAAAGATCTTGGAGTCCTCGTGGACAACAAGTTAAACATGAGCCAACAATGTGATGTGGCGGCAAAAAAAGCCAATGGGATTTTGGCCTGCATCAATAGGAGCATAGTGTCTAGACCTAAGGAAGTAATGCTACCCCTCTATTCTGCTTTGGTTAGACCACATCTGGAATATTGTGTCCAATTCTGGGCACCACAATTCAAGAGAGATATTGACAAGCTGGAATGTGTCCAGAGGAGGGCGACTAAAATGATCAAGGGTCTGGAGAACAAGCCCTATGAGGAGCGGCTTAAGGAGCTGGGCATGTTTAGCCTGAAGAAGAGAAGGCTGAGAGGAGATATGATAGCCATGTATAAATATGTGAGAGGAAGCCACAGGGATGAGGGAGCAAGCTTGTTTTCTGCTTCCTTGGAGACTAGGACGCGGAACAATGGCTTCAAACTACAAGAGAGGAGATTCCATCTGAACATGAGGAAGAACTTCCTGACTGTGAGAGCCGTTCAGCAGTGGAACTCTCTGCCCCGGAGTGTGGTGGAGGCTCCTTCTTTGGAAGCTTTTAAGCAGAGGCTGGATGGCCATTTGTCAGGGGTGATTTGAATGCAATATTCCTGCTTCTTGGCAGGGGGTTGGACTGGATGGCCCATGAGGTCTCTTCCAACTCTTTGATTCTATGATTCTATGATTCTATGCCTCCCTTGAAAGACAGCCCATTGGGATATCTCTCCAAACGCAGAGAGAACATGGACTGCACAATGAAGATATTCAAAAAATATAGAAAGTGAAAGATTATCTTGTTGCCCAACTCAAACAATGTGTTGCAGGCCACGTGATGCGCAGAACAGATGGGTGCTGGAGCAATGCCACTGCAACATGGTGCCCACAGGGATGGACGAGACCTCTTGGTCATCCTCCCACCCAATGGCTTGATTCATTCCATATGGTGTATAATGTGAGAGACGAACATGGTCATACAATGGTATACTGGTGAACTCATGCTTGAAATAGATACGAATGGAGGCAATTAGAGAAGATCCTGTGATCTGCATGAAAGCTGAGGCTCAGATCATCTAGGTGACTAAGTGGTTTTGAATAAGGAGAGGGGGTCTTTCTTACCATGGAATACTGCCATCTAACTGAATTTGACATACCTGGAAATTGTGTTCCTCCAAGTGGCCGAGACTGATTTTGTGCATCGAAACTTTGCCAGGAATATTGAGGCTGAGGAAATCCTTCCACAGAATTGCAGGTCAGGTTAATATTTTGTCCATATTCTGCTGTCCCAACTATAGTGCACACAGGCCTGGATGGCCTCACTATCGAATGGGGGGAAAATAAGCAGAGCAAGCTCAACAACATAACAATGAAAACTGTGTTGATTCCTGACATCATGCTATTCTTCATAAAAAGCAGCCCATAAGGATTTTCTATTAAATTCTGAAAGGCAGTACCTTCATGACTTAGTTTATGGTTCTATACAATAGAGCAGGATCTTAATTCAATGACAGTGCAGTTGTTTCATGTGCAGAAGGTTCCAGGTTTGTTTACTGTACCTTCAGATACAAAATGGGTGAGAAGAAGTTTGCACTTCTCAGATACTACTGAACCCCTGGCAACTCTGGCAACTCTAGGAAGCTTAGCCAAAAAACAAAGTTGGGAGTTTCAGTCCAACAATATCTGGAGATCAACAGAAAGGCCATTCCTATATTCAGGGAGCATTTGATGAGTAAGATTGCCTGAGACTACAGGCAAGTACTGCCAATCCGAATAGTAACTTTCACCTGGTACAAGTCGTTTTCCAACCTTCCTCAACTTTTGATATACCACTTCACAGAAAATGAGCTAAAGTACTTGGCTAACCTTAGGGCTGTCTGTAAAATAAGGTATAACTGAGGTTTTCAATCTTTGTGCTCCAGATATTTTGGACCCCAGCTTTCACTAGCCACAGCGATGGGCCCAGGACAGTCAGGACAGCGGGTTGGAGCCCTCCTCCTCAAGACTAGGCTTGAGGGGTGGGCTTTTAGTGAAATAATCTGGAAGCAGAGGCGGCCCTAGGTAATTTTCAACGGTAAGCAAACAGCATTCCCCCCAACCAATCACTGATATATATTTTCTGTTTGTTGTGGGAGTTCTGTGTGCCATATTTGGTTCAATTCCATCATTGGTGGAGTTCAGAATGCTCTTTGATTGAAGGTGAACTATACATCCCAGTAAGTACAACTCGCATATGTCAAGGTCTATTTTCCCTCAAGAGCACCTCAAGAGCGCCCCTGGGCAAAATCAACTATACTGCAAATGCTTACTTTGGGTAATGGGTTGAGCCGCCCCTGTCTGGAAGAAACTGAAATCAGAAGTGTGGTAAATGCACAGGCACTAAGATATATCAAGGAAGTGGTTGTTACTGAGCCCTCACAGAAGTAATAAATACTTGCAGTGTATCCTAAAATACAGAGCTTCCCATCTGTGTGCCTGTGTCATGACCCATTAGCATGTTGACTGTAATGTGTAAGTGTGTTATGCAAACATATGTTGAAAATGTGTAGCATATTACAAATCTTATACTGTATTTTTTAAAAATATAAATGAAAGGTTTTCATGAGATATGCTGTGTTCCCATACATTGGGGGCCAGAGGTTTAGCACAGCTGGTAAATCACCAGCAATTATAAGATCTATTAAGCGAAAGATTGCAAGTTCAAAGCCCCAGGTCAGCGTGAGCTGCCAACTGAAAGCCTAGCTCATTGTTTACCAAAACAATTTTTTGAAAACAGCTTTAGCTGTAATTAGAGAAATTAGGTACTGCTAAAAGCAGGGGAGGTGTTTTACAACACCATAAAGAAAGAAGATCAGAAAATGCTGGGTGACCAAAAAGAAGGAGGAAGTCCTGATGGCTCTTCGTCATAGAGGATAGAGCAACAGCATCCCCCATGGCACTAAAAACAGCTGGACACTAAGTCGAAACAAACCACCTCCTTCTGTTCTGTCTGTCTGTGTATTGTCTATACAAAGCGGCATTGAATGTTTGCCATATATGTGTATTGTGTTCTGCCCTGAGTTCCATTCGGGGTAAAAACGGTGGAATATAAATAAAGTGTTGTTGTTGTTGTTATTTCGTTATTATAATTTATGTATGTGTCTGTATCTCTTATAAGGGATTTGTTTAACCTCTGGTTTGCTGGTAAAACTGAATTGCTGTGTCAAGAAGTGATACAAGTGTGTCAAGAACATGAAATGTTCAGAAAGCTCTGCTATATATACTTACTTGGAAGTTCCCCAAGGAGAGCATTTCTGTGTGTTCACTGTATTTGTAAGTGTCCTCATACTGAAGGATGTTTGAATGTTAATGGCTGAGAAAAGTAGTGTATCCTTCCTCTAAAACACAGAAATGTTCCTCCACAACCTAATCAAAACTGCATAATTCTCATTTCTAACCCAAAACAACAATTACTTATATTTTCAGGTTGCAACGCAAGACTGTACACAAGATCATTTTTGGGAAGCATTTTACTTTCTGATCATCAAGGCACAACTTTCTGCATGCTGAAATGTGCTAAAGAACTAAAATATGGGACTGGAAGCAATGCAAAGCATAGAATGTGTCTTACCAAGAACCACAAGTTTTATCTCAACAGATTTCTCAGGGAGTTCCCCAGCAAGACGTACAGCGCATTGATAGGATCCATTATCATTTGTGGTCAACTGAGTAAGAGTGATGCTGACATTGCCATTGTTTACATTTCCAGAGAATGTCAAACGGTTTTTGTAATTGTTTCCTTTATATTCTGAGTCACCAACAAGTTGCTTGGAAGCAAATTCTTCCTAGGTAGGAGAGAAGGGTACAGTTAAAACAATAGACTTAGTTAAGGTTAAACATAATTTTTGTGGCACAAATCTTTGACTCAACATTTTGAGTCAAAGTTCTTCTAAACAATGATTCTGCCTCACTATTGAAATTATATGAGGTTATTTGAAGAACTGTATCTCCGCTATCTGGAAAGGTCCTTCTCTCTATTCTATCACCTTGTGTCGCTCCTTTGGAGGGAACAAGTAAAGGATCTTTACAGAAGCTGCTCCCATATTTTAGAACTGCCAGGATGACCCCATCCCTGTGTGCCTTTCACTGGCAAGTAAAACATTGTTGTGCCATCAGGTGATTAGAAACTGATAAAAACTGGGCCTTTTTTCTAGTTTCAAAAGGCATGTATATACTTTTAAATTACACATTCATAATCTTTACAAAACTTTGAGTTGCATACATAATTTCATATTTTGCAGTCTGTTATGCTGCATGTTTCTTTTCTTTTTTAAATGATAAATCAAACCATGCAATTCATCATTCTGGACACAAGGTGGCAAGAAAGATATAACAAACGCATATACAATGACTCCACTTAGGCTGAAAAATTCACTAATTTGAAGACCACTGTGGAGTTATTGCTTGAATTACAATGGAGTTTTTACTGGGCCTTTTAATGCTGTGTGATTTTAAGGTTTGTGTGACTTCTTTAACACATGTTTATATTTAACATGGTTTTAACAATATAAGTTGTTTGTTTTATAATTTTATATTTTAATATTTTTGTATTTTTAATTAGTCTTGTTTGATATGCATTGTTAGTTGCCTTGAGTCCCTATACTGGGAGAAAGATGGCATAAAAATAAAACCCATCATTGTCATCCTCATCAACTGTAAAGATTGAAGTCTGCCACTAGGCTCTAGTATTCCTTTTCAGTTTCCACAGAATCCAAGCATCAACTTGCACGTCTACAGTATCCTTTTTTCAATATTAAATATCTGCATACCTCACCATCCCTGGTTTGAGCTCCTTTCCATGATATTGACTCAAAATTACAAAGGAAAATTAAAGAAAAAAAGTTTTGTGCCCTCGGGAGTCTTCTTCCTTCTTCCCACCCCCTAATATCTCCAGTGCAGGAAATTTTATTGAGGAAGATAAAAATGACCACATTCCTGTCACTTGCTTCTTACACTATGGGTAGTAGATGCTAAATATCCAAGCATCACAGAGGGATGATAAGATAGTTCTATACATTGTGCAGACAGTTTGCAGAGCAGCTTATTTTATTCAAAAGTGTTAAATACTGTGGTGGTGCAATGGGTTAAACCTTTGTGCTGCTGAACTGCTGACCTGAAGGTTGGCAGTTCGAATCCATGGGACGCGGTGATCTTCCACTGTTAGCCCTAGCTCCTGCCAACCTAACAGTTCAAAAACATGCAAATATGATTAGATAAATAGCTCCCGCTTCAGCAGGAAAGGCACAAGACACTCCAAGCAGTCATGCTGGTCACACGACCAGGAGGTGACAATGCAGGCTCCCCAGCTTAGAAATGGAGAAGGGTGCCTCCCCCAGAGCCAGAGACGAGCACCACCTCCAAAGCCGGATATGAAAGGAGAAGCCATTGCCTTTGTTTGTGTTTGTGTGTCTCATTGTTTGCCAGTATCTGTTTATACAGTAATCCGTTCTGAGTCCCCAAGGGGAGAGGAGCAGAATATAAATAAAGAATTATTATTATATTATTACTACTCCAGGGAATTAAGGATATTTGTTAAGATAGTCACCAATGCTCTTTAATGCAGCACTATTTTTAAGCTTCAAGTAATGGGGAGAAGCTATTTTACTAAACCTTTTAAGGCTGTTCATGGGAATAATCAGTTTCCCAGTATTTGAACATAATAAAAGTACAATTCATGTACTGCGCTCTTTAAATACATGCACCTAGCTAAGAAGGAAAAGGTGCATTTTATGCAAACGAATGCAATTAAAGAAAAGGGGACAAGGAAACAGAAGTTTTGATCTGGGGTTTTTGATCCACAAAGAGCTTTGTTGCTTGTTCTGAACATTGCCTTTCCTGTTCACTAAAAAGAGAGGGAGAGCGAATTTGTGCTGTTAGCCAAAAGCTAAAACGTAGATTGTAAATTCCACGATATTCCACATAAACAGCCTTGCAGAGGTTTGATAATATTGTTACATGAAAGTAATAGAACAATTGGGTGCATAATAAATTTTGGTCAGTTTTGGAGAACGGTTGAACAGGTGTCTTTCATGTTCTTTGCCATTTCCATTATAAATCCCAGATTTTTTTTATAAAAAGTATCAAAATGTAATGTGACAAGCTAACAATTAATTTTTGCAGGCTTTACACACCAATTACTTTAGAAAGCCATGCAATATGCTGCATAACAAATTTACAAGATGTGGGAAGTTTCTGTATGAATGACTACAGTATATGTCACGTTATGTTTACTTTGACAACTTGTAATCCATTGCATTCATTGTTATGTGGCCTACTGCCTTTTGACAACCAAGTTAGACAACATGAGGAATGAGGAGAAAACCTCAAAATGCATCTCAAGAATACATCTCAGCCTCAAAAACCTTATGAGAAAAAGTAACAAGGAACTGGTAATTGTGAAACAGAGGAAGTACGTAACAACATTACTAGCCATTCTTTGAGCTCAGGCATGGGCAAACTTCGGCCGTCCAGGTGTTTTGGACTCCAACTCCCACAATTGCCTCAAACTTAGTAAAGGGCCTTCAAGTTGTCAGGAATTGTGGGAGTTGAGGTCCAAAACACTTGGAGGGCTAAAGTTTGCCCATGCCTTCTTTAGCTTGATTTGGTTTGCTTTTTCCCCCCGGGGAGTGGGAGGGTATTGTGATGTTCTTCATTTACCAAAAATATTTATCATATTACAGGTAATTGTTTGAAGCTTTGCCTATTGCTTTTGAAAAGTAACATTGTGAGCTCTGCATTTCGGGGGTGACATCCTTGTTTCGCTGCCTTCAAATGCTTGTCTTTCTCGCAGACAAACCTTGCGGTGACCAGGGCAGATCAGAGCGCCTGCCTTATGTCGCCTTGACAACCAGACAACTGTAGCTTGGGCTTCTTTGTTTGTTTGTTTGTTTGTTGGGTTGCAGCCACCATAATGGTGGCCAGCAAAAAAATGTGAAGTGCCTGCAGTTTGTCCAGGAGGGGGGGAAATGAAATAAATAGCAGTTGCCTTGACTGAGTATCTACAACATTTCTATCAGAAATAATGACCCACATTTTGACATTTGGGGAAGAGTCAGTGTTTCCAGGCAGCCCTTCTGTCACCACTGCTTTGTTCCCATGTCTTGGCATGACACACATGGCGGCTAAGATGCTTTGAAGGTCTTTTCTCTTTGTTGCGTGCCTTCAGATTGTTTCTGACTTATTGCAACCTTATTGCATAAGTTCCTTGGCAGGATTTGTTCAGAAAGGGATTTCTTTTGCCTTCCTTTGAGGCTGAGAGAGTGTGGCTTGCCTAAGGCCACCCCATAGATGTTCATGTCTAAGTGGGATTCAAACTCCGATATTTGTATTTGCAGTTCAGCAATCAAACCGGTATACCTCATTGACTGTCAAATGCATCTTTACTTTCATGTAATTCATGGGTGAGTTTTCAAAGACTGCAGTATTCATTTTAGTCCTTTTTCATCTATGAAGATTGCCTGACAGTTTTGGCATCCCTGTTATCTTCCTAATATTTTATTTGGATTACTGTACAAATGGTGCTCAGCTCTGAACTGAAGAATGAGACACTTAAAAATCAAAAGAAGACATTTGGGAACAATAACAGGAAAGTAGGGGAAAGGAAAGAAGGAGAAATGGGGGGAAGCAGTGTTTTCTGAAACCAAAGGGTTGTGTTGCAACAGATGTGCAACCTCTGCTCAACTAGCAGTGTCCTTTTCCTCTGGTCTCTGAAGCACGAAAAGACAATGGAATAAGCATAGTGTTTGTCAAGGAGGCTTCCTTCCATGTCATTATGGATGGAGTTAAGCTACATGCCCGCAGGAATGTGTGTGTTTGTTCAGCAGCAGAGAAGAATTTGCTTTTGTATTATTGCACATCATGATCCTCATCTAAGTCACCTCAGATGCATCTTTTATTTATAGTGGGATATATCCTCATTTGCAGGCTGTTCACCAAGACTGTGGTCAAAGTGGCAGTGCTTTATTATGTAATACAAAACTAAGACTTTAGGAATAAGGAAGCAGAGTTTAGGCTACAATTTGCCCTTTTCTGGTTGCTACCAAAGACAAAGGAACCCTTGATTTGCTTGTTTCCAGCAAAGATCAAAGGCACTCAACCCAAAACATTCATGCATGTTCTTATATCCCACACAACAGCTCTATAGCATAACTGCTTACCGTGTCATGTACTCTTTGCCAGGAAACAAAATCTCCAGCTTGTGGACTCGCAGTAGTGGCACGGAAGATGCAGTTCAGAGTGGCATTTTTCCCTCTTTCCGCCTCCACTTTGGGCTGAGGTGTTTCCACTGTGAGGCCATGAACAACAGCCACAACTAGAGGGAAGAGACAGAGAGAGAGAGGAAGCAGGGAAGTCCACCTTGATCTCTGTCATCATGGTTAGAAAACCGTACAAGCACCAAAATGGAAGTTGGTTTTTATCGTATATGCATTTTTAGTATGTTTTAACTTGTACATTTTGTTTTCTTGTTGATATTGTGTGTTTATATTCTGTATTGGGTCCGGCCGCAGAAAAAGGTGGGGTAGAAGTATCTTAAATAAATAGATAAGTAAGTAAGAATGGATACTCTTCAGAGTTAACAAAGCTCAGTCTGTGATGTTATCTCTACATCTGCTGCATTTTCTTGTCTAAACATGAGAAAGAAGAATGAGAAAGACGAGTCTGTTCCAACAGACCTCACTACCTCTGAGAATGCTTGCCATAGATGCAGGCGAAACATCAGGAGAGAATGCCTCTAGACCATGGCCATATAGCCCGAAAAAACCTACCACAATCCAAAGATGAATCTATCTCTCTTGGGGGGGAAAACTGAAATCAATAAAAATGACACCGCAATTATTATTTGGAGAAAGGAGATTCCATGTGACACAAGAAGGCCTGGATTCTCATATAATTCTGTGAGATGGTTCAAAAAGTAGCTGTTTGTATTATTTTGTATATATTTTCTCTTCTCCGGTCCTACCATGAACAATCATTCTTCCCTAGCTGAAAACACTTTGGTGGCACTTTTTAAATCTCTGTCACCTTGCAGCACCAAAACAAGGCCACAGCATTTGCGAGATACCTCCTCATTGTTTCCTGTCCACCTTGACCAACCTTTGCCAATTGTTAGGTGCTTTTATGGTTGCCACCGCGGACCAGTCTTCAGGGGCTTTTTAAAAATGAGATATGTTTGTATTTTTCATCCTTTTTTCTCAAATCCATCACATACTTAGGCGATCCTTCCCCTTGTCCATGATATGGATATTGGAAAATATATTTACACATATATTTTATGTACATTAGAAAGACTGAAATGTAGAAAAAATAGATTCTCTCTGTATTAGAAAACCAAGCTGACAGGACAAAAGGCTGCTGAAGGAGATATGTGTACAAGGCACAGGCGAGAGCGGGGTGAACATTCCAGGGGGGAGATAGGAACGGCTTGGTATGGACCATACCTTCTTCGACAAAGGATCTCTCTTGGTATTATCTCTCCTATCAGCCACAATATCCGAGTATGATGGCCTTCTAAGTTCTTGGGAAATGCCTGTGAGTTTTTTTAATGTGTGGAGGTCAGTGCACAGCCAATCAACACACAGTCTTCACAGAGTGAGGGTCCCAACCAGTGGCTTGGTTAACACAACAATGATGTTGCAGCCTTCTTCCACCTTCACAGTCATTGTAACACGCACCATGTTATCTTCCGCCTGATCCACCATTGAGGTCTCCGGATTGTGCTCAGTATGGAACCTTTCTTGTCCCCGCCCCTCACCCCCGGGAGTGCATAACACAGGTTCATTGGAACACAGAAGCCCCCTCACCACGACAAGGTGACAATTCATGAAGGGATGACAAGGAAAATAACTCTGCCAGCACCAATAGATATATGTTCTATCTTGCTACCCAAGCTGTCCAGAGACTCATTCTCACTTTCAAAATCAGGCCAATGTATATTTTTGTGTTTCAAAATATTTTTATTGATACACAGATTCTAACTACATAAAACCACATTTAAGGTATAAGACTTTATTAATTTTAAAGGTATGCTGTTTTAATTTAAACACTCTTGTCTTGCCTAAGATCACCTGAAATTATAGACTAAACACCGAGTAAGAAGGATGTGGGCAGAATTCATTGCTTTAATCTTTCTCAGATGCCTGTTGCCTTTTTCCTGCTTGAGTGACTTCATTGACTCATCAGAAGAAAGTGTGCATGCCGTGCTGCAAGGGAAGTTTCTACGAGGGGACAAGGTCCTCTTTGCCTTATAGTTTTATTGCTACACCACACCCAGCTACCACCTATATATGTATGCAAACACATATTTTATGTAGCTCGTTCCAACCGTCATTTCTTTATTTTAACAGCAGTTCAGCAATGAAAGAAGTTCCCTCGATCAGGACAGAGCAGGTATAGGCAAACTATGGCCTTCCAGGTGTTTTGGACTTCAACTCCCACTTAACGTAACTTAGCTTAACTCAGTTTAAGAGGCTGAGGAGGGAAAAGAAGGGCCCCAAAGCTGCTAGGAATGGTGGGAGTTGAAGTCCAAAACACCTGGAAGGCTGAAATTTGCCCATGCCTGGGATAGATCTCTGTGAAAAACGTTATGTAGAACCTGGAGATCTATCTGTTGGGGGTGGGAGAGAGGTTGTTTCCACATTCCCAGTTCATATTTCACACAACTCTTTCAAAACACAACTCTTTCATTCAGCAAGTGATGACCTGGTCTGTTTTTGCCCCTTAGCCCCAAACTGAGTTTTGATCTCCTCCATATTGCTTATCAGCATAATTGGGACATTCCTTCAAGATATAAAGTCTTTTTTTTTCAATAATGCACTTAAATACACGATTATTCCAGACAACACTCTTAAATAAAAGGGCATAGATTTTTCTGGAGAGAAGTCATTGGCCTACTGCCAATGGTTAGAGCTGAAATTTCCTATCAGTTCCTGATCAACAGGTAGCTAGCTAGCAGGCAAGGCTTTTGTTTTGTTTTGTTTTGTTTTGTTTTTTGTATTGTATATTATGAGTTTTGTGAAGTGACTGAGTTGTGCCAGTGAAACTGGTTCCTCCAGGCTTCAGTTCACAATCTGATCATAAGACTTGCCTTGGGGCATGTAGAGGGGGAGGAGGAGAAAGAGCTTGACTTCATAGGCGAGTCAGGCTTCTTCTAGAGCAGGGGTCCTCAAACTTCTAAAGCCAAGGGCCAGACTATAGTTTGGGGGAAAAATGAACAAACCCCTTTGCGCTCTGCATACATCTTATTTGTAGTGCAAAAGAACATGAAAGAATACAATATTTAAAATAAAGATAAATTTTAACCGACATAAACTTACCAGTATTAAAGTGAGAAGTGTGGATCTGCTTTTGGCTCATAAAATAGTCAAGTTAATTAGGATTGTTGTGTGCCTTCATGTCATTTCAGACTTAGGGCAACCTTTAGGGCAGGGCCCGGGTAAATGACCTTGGAGGGCTGCATCCGCTGCACAGTCCTTACTTTGGGAACCGCTGACCTAGCAGTTCATTCCAAGAGAAGAGTTCAATGGTAGTGAACAAGATTTCCACAATCTAGTGAACAAGATTTCCACAATCCAAGGTTTGATCCCTAACGCTTCCAAGATCTCAACCTGAGATCTTAACTCAGTGGTTCTCAACCTCCCTAATGCCACAATCCCTTAATACAGTTCATCATGTTGTGGTGACCCCCCAACCATAAAATTATTTCTGGCCAGACCTCCATTATTCCATATAATTGGGATGAGATGGATCATCTTGTTCCATTTCAATCTTGCTTTGGCCTAGTTATGGGACACAATTCAAAGTGTGCCTTTACAATTTGGCTGTTTTGGGTATCGATGACCAGAGAATCCTTCTAGGCAACGTTCTTGTATGGCAGTGGTTCTCAACCTTCCTAATGCCATAACCCCTTAATACAGTTCCTCATGTTGTGGTGACTCCCAACCATAAAATTATTTTCATTGCTACCTCATAACTGTAATTTTGCTACTGTTATGAATCGTAATGTTGGGAGTTGTAGTTGCTGAGATTTAAAGTTCACCTACAATCAAAGAGCATTTTGAACCCCACCAATGATAGAATTGGGCCAGACTTCCCACACAGAACCCCTATTACCAACAGAAAATACTGTGTTTTCTGATAGTCTTTGGTGACGACTCTGACATTCCCTGGTGACCACCCCCCCCCCCCCAGCGTCCTGACCCCCAGGTTGAGTAATGCTGCCTTAACTGTTGAGAGCACAGGGTACTCAGCTACATGGATCAATTCTCTCATTTGGTAATAGTTTTTGAAGTCTTTCATCAGACATGAATGCTAGGCTTCCCATTTCTTCTCTCATCCCTTGGCAGACAGTTTTATTTAGTATGGTCCATTTTTAGGTCGAAAAAAAGAATTAAGATCATGACAGGTCCTGGATTAGCAGGTTGAGTTTTCAACAGTGAACTCATACATGTGGCATTTGGAAGTAACTAAAGTAAAGATTTTCCCCAGAAATTAAGTCCAGTCGTGTCCAGCTCTGGGGGTTGGTGCTCATCTCCATTTCTAAGCTGAAGAGCTGGTGTTGTCCATAGACACTTCCAAAGTCATGTGGCTGGCATGACTGCATGGAGTGCCGTTACCTTCCCACTGGAGTGGTAGCTATTGATCTACTCATATTTGCATGTTTTCGCACTGCTAGGTTGGCAGAAGCTGGGGCTAACAGCGGGAGCTCACACTGCTTCTAGGATTCGAACCTGTGACCTTTTGGTCAACAAGTTGAGCCATTCAGCAGTTTAACTCAATGTGCCACCAGGGGCCACTTGGAAGTAACTATAGTTGCATATAAATTCGTGTGCACACGTGTGTATCATCATATGTGCCTTTGTGTTTCATAGGATGTTATTAGGCAAGGAACATTTGCTTCAAAAGAAGGTATAGTTGTGTTAAATTGCAATGGTAACTTAACAGGATATAATTAAAGAAACTGTTTAATTACAAGAAATGAGAAGTAAAGAGTTGCTTTTAAACATGTTTCAGTAATTTTGGTGCCTTGGAGCTGTAACAGCTGATTACTTTGAAAGTAATATCTAGCTTTCTCCCCCTGTCACAAACGCATACACATGAGGAAATCTGCATTAGATATGAGAAAAACTGCATTAGATATGACAACAAGAAGTGCCATGTTTCATAATAAAACATTTATCATCCTTATCTCTGCTCATCTCAAAGAGAAAGATGCTAAACCTCCTCTGCAAATTAATCACATAAATGAGAAAAAAGAAAAAGTAAGGCCAACCCAGAATTTTGTACCTATGATTCCCAGTAGAAAGACTCATGAAT